GGGTAATGGGTGTCAGCCTGGCACTATCTGTCTCACTCCTCTCTTGATGGAAGGATGTGGGTTCAAGCGCACCTGGATTTTGAGCTCAGTCTAGGCTGATGCTCAAGTGAAGTGCTGGGAGGTGCTGAATAGCTGGAGGTGCCGTCCTTCAGATGAAAAGTTAAACCGAGGTCTTGTCTGGCTGTGTGCTGGGGTACAGTTCAACACACCATGCAGGTGAAGGAGGGGTTAGAAAAAAGCAATCTACTCACTCTGTTATCTACACTAATCAAATACAAAGCCGTATCTTGAGGGCATCTGACTGTAAAGTTGAAGCACGTTCCTGTACCTGGGAGAGATGACTGGGGAGGTCACGTTTGGAATGTAACCTCCTGTGCTGTGAAATTGTTTTTGCTGAGATCAAAAATCTTTTTGGGGGGGAGGGAAATAGTTCAATCACGAAGCAACCAAGCCTGGATAATTAGCCCGAGTTACCATGGAAACAGAAAAATATGTTGTCCACTTCTCTGTTGTCTTAGAATAGAATATCAGGGAGCGTCTACAGAGAGTGGTGTTCCCAGGCCACATTGACTGCTTTCCTCTTTGGCTTTGCTGCTTCTCTTCTATCTCTTATCTCTGTTGCTTGCTTTAGGAAAAGATTTTATCCTGACATCTCTCTCTTTCACTCTGGTCTAATTTGCGCTACAGCATAACAGAATTCTCCCCACCTGGGGAGCCATCAGATTCCAGTTAACTACAGTCACTGTACTCGACGGTAAATCCTGTGATCGCTTTGAGACTCTCCGGACATCACTCTGTTTGTTAGTGTCTGAAGAACTGTAAAACGAGAAGCCCAACAGTTGTTTTTCACTCTCAAGCAGGACCTTCAGTCCGTGAAGAGAGAGTGTCCAATGATTATTATTAATCCTTGCATTTGATACAGCGCTTTATGTCATCGAGTGGTCTCAAAGTGTTGCACAGGATTTACTATAACATGCAGTGACTGTGTGTTTTGTTGGCAAATACAGCAGCAAATTTGAGTACCACAAACAGCAAGGACGATTGTTGACCAGGACACTGGGACAAACTCCCTTCTGTTTGAAATGGAACCACAGGATGTCTTCATGTCCACCAGAACAGGAAGACAGGCCCTCGGCTTAATGTCTCAACTGAAGGACGGCACCTCTAACAACGCGGTGCTCCCCCAACATTGTCAGACTCTTATTGGAGCGTCAGCCTAAACTAAATGAGTTCTGACGTGGGGCTTGAACCTACAAACTTCTGACTCAGCAACGAGAGTGCTACCAGTTGAGCAAGGCTGACATCTATAGAAAGGAAATGAGGAACGAGGGAAAAGGAGGAAGGGGAACAAAGAGCATCTGGTGTCTGTCTCCTGATAGTCTGAACGGCCTGTGCAGAAAGTATATTTTGTTCTTGTTCCTTCTCCTCTACTTATTGACCATTAAATCCCAGCCGCCCCAGGGAAAGGATAAAAACGGAACATGGCTGCAATAATAATCTTGCATTTGATACAGTGCCTTATCAAGTCTTAGAGACGTCTCAAGGCGCTTCACAGAATATACTGTAAAATGTAGTGACTGTATTTTGTGGACAAAACTCGGCAGCTCGTTGTGTCCCACAAACAGTTGTGTATTGAGTGACCACATTATGATTATTATTATTTATTTATTAACTAAGATCTCTTATTTGGTCACTTACCCGACGACCTGAATGGGGTGGGGTGTAGGGGTCCTTCTGGCTCAGCGTTGTGAATGACTCGGTTAGTTCAATGATGAAGGTTCTGTGTTTGAGTCCTGGTGACTGTACTCAGCCTATTGCCCTTCAGGGTTGGAGAAATGAGGACTGAGATCCTACAAGGTTTTGAACTCCAGCTAAGTTAGCTAGACCTCTGGCCTTCAGCTCACTACAAATGTTCCCCTCTCACACTTTCCTCTCTGTTTCTTGTTCACTTTCCCCCTCAGTATGTGTGTGTATCTCTGTCTTTTTCCCATGTCCACTCTCTCCCTTTCTCTTGAGACGTCTCAATGACATAAGGCACTATATAAACTGTAAGGTTTATAATTTTTTATATATATATATGTATTCTCCCCCCCCCCCCCCCTCCCACTGCTGGTCAAGGATTTGAATCCTGTAATTGGTTGAGTCACCACCTTCTGCATTCTGTGGCAGACAAGCACTGTATTATGTGAGTATATGGGGTGGTGGGGGGAGAAGGAAGGAGAGGTGATGGTTGGGGTGGGGGGGGGAAGGGGGATCCCAGTGTGTGTTGCGGAATTGCAGTGTGTCTGCACTCAGTGAGTTTGGGGCCTATTTGTCTCATACCAGCTGTTATCAGCACCCGGCAGTCTCTGGCGTGTGGTTTTCCTGTGAGATGGAGCCGAGGGGAACAGGAGGGTTTGGTGTGGTTGTGCTTACTCACCCTGGCTCCGCGCTCTGAGCACTTATCTGCTGCCAGCTGCCTCTCAGGCCCATCCCTGCCACAGCCCGGGATGTCCATCATCAGAGCACGGACAGCAACTAGGGCTTGTATGTGCAACAGTTACAGCGACCACACGCGTCCTGAGGACACTCGGTAACAACAGCACGGCCTGGCTGAGATCTGGGAACAGGGAGAGAATTTAGTAGAAGCTCCTGGGAGGAATCATGACATCTCTGGCACAGGAGTGTGAGGCAGGAGGTATGTGAGAGCCAGACTCCCAGACCATTTCTTGTCTCTTGCCAGTTGCTTATTGCCCTCCCCAGCTCCACCATCCACAAGATCCAGCTGATCCAAACTTCCACCGCCTGCATTCTCACCAGTACTAAACTCCGTACCCCTATCACACCATTCCTAGCCAGGCTCCACTGGGTCCCTCGGGCTGAATGGATCGATTTCGAGATCCTCACACTCGTTTTCAAATCCCTTCATGGCCTGGCACCTCCCTACCTCTCCAACCTGCTTACCCTCCAACCCACTGCCTCCGCTCGACTGGCTCTGGCTCCTACATGTCCCGCGCTTTTAGCCACTATACCTTGAAACACTCTTCCCCTATCCCTCCACCTTGCTCCTTCCTTCCCCATCTTCAGATTGCGCCTGAAGACCTTCCTCTGTGACCGTGCCTACAGTCACCTCCCCCCGACTCGGCATCGTGCTCCACCACTGTCAAGCTCTCTGGGACGCTGCCCTAGTGAGGGGCGCTGTGTAAATGCAAGTTGTTCTTATTGTACATTCAGTTAGATTTTTAGTTCAGCACATTGTTTCTATATATCTCAATTGCACTCCTCGCTGGTCTCCCCAGCTCCACCATTCACAAGATCAGCTCATTCAAACCTCTGCCGCCGCATACTGACCAAACTCCGTCCCCATATCTCACCAGTTCTGGCCCCGGCTCCACTGTCTCCCCATCACCGAACCGATCGACTTCAAGATCCTCTCACTTGTGTTCAATCCCTTCACTCTCTGGCACCTCCCTCCCTCTCCAACCCCCTCACTCCCCGACTGGCACCGGCTCCTGCTCGCCCCTCACACCCTCCGCCCCACCATCGGAGGTTCCGCTTTCAGCCACTAGGCCCCAGAACTCTCCCTCCAATCCCTCTGTCTTGCCTCCTCTCTCCCCTCTTTCAAGTCCCACCTGAAAACCTTCCTCTTCAACTGTGTTTATGGCCACCCACCCACCCCGCTCGGAATCAGGCTCCGCCACTGTTAATCGCTCTGAGACACTACCCTGCGTGGAGGGTGCTTTATAAGTGCAAGTTGTTGTTTTTTTCTGCCTGGATCTGTCTGGGTCAGGCACCGACTGTGGCGAACAGACAGAAAGTGTGTGTGAGTAAGAGAGTAAGAGAGAGAGAGGCGGCAGCAGCAGATCATTGCACATGAGAGGAGAAAGAGAGCGAAATTGAACACAGTACATGAGGTGCTATAGAGCATGTGTATAAACGTATCCTATCATTATTAACACGGGAAAGGATCATTTAAGCTTGTGCTGTGCTCGCTCCCACAAGCTATTCCAATACTATCTTCATGTTTTCTTTCTGAATTCTTTTATATCTTCATTCCTCAAATATTTATCCATTTCTCTAACAGACACACAGGGACTGCTATTCTCCCCCGCCCACCCCTCGAGGATTGTCTTGACCGCCCTGTTTGCCCACAAATACACAGTCCACTACACTTTATATTATATCCTGGGAAACTATTGGGACGTGCCTGACATGAAAGGTGCTGTATCAAATGTAAGGATTATTTATTATAACTAGTTTGGGACTAAAGAAATGGAGGAAGAACAAGTACTTGTTCTTCTGAAAGGGGAGACCTGCCTACAGCTGAGGTGACACAACAATTTGAAATTGGGTGTCATTTGGAACATTTTACAACACGTTCTTTGTGGTAATCTTCACTGTCTGAATCTCACAAAAGGTGTGGGACCATCTCTGAGAGAAATGTTTAATGTACAAAAGGTGCACGACTTTCATTCCTGAAAAGCATCTGATATATAATATTGTGGAATCCTATTGCTCAGTAGTTAGAGGATTTGCTACAAGTCAGAGGACCTGGGTTTGATTCGTGGGCAGGGCAAAACGTTGGGCAATTTTCCTTACTCCACACAGCTCTGTTTACCCAGCAGTGAGGAGGAGCCAATTGTTACTTGATTGGCGGATCGCTTTTTCGGGGGTAATAATCCCTTCAAATTTTTTTAAAAAATAATCTGATCACTTAATCCCAACTGTTTGTGGGACGCTGCTGTGTGCAATTGGCCGCCGTGTTTCACCCACACAATACACAGTCAATTCACTTTACAGTATATTCTGTGAAGTGCTTTGAGACGTCTCAATGACGTGATCAGGCGTTACATCAAATTCAAGGATTATTATTACACACACACACACATATGGTTATATTCCCTTCCCCTCATTGTCTTGCAGCCTCTGTAGATAAGCAGCTTCTCTCCCTGGGGAAGAGGCTTTGCGACTTCCTGTGAGTGTCTGGGGCAGCATCAGGGGCCCCGCTATCACGCTATCACCCTATTGTCTACCTCCGAGCAGGGGGAGGTGCTGAGAATACCCAGCAGTCTGCCACAGGCCTGTGATTCCCAGTGCTAAACACACACACACACACACACACGCTCTCGCACTGGGCCTTCCTTGCACGCTTTTGTTCAGTGACAGCTGCCTGCCTCCAGAACAAAAGGTTTGCTCCCCTCTGAAGGCTTCGTCAAGACCAGGCCTTTCACATTACACCCAACACTGCCGGCCAATAAAGAAGTGAGACATTAAAAGTGCTGGGTTTCTCTCTCACTTCATCAAGCTTTGTGTGTCTGCCATCTCCAACTACACCTTCTGCTGAGGTAAAGAGGAGCTTTCTGTGTTTGTCTGCGTGTAATGTGGGGGATTTTCTAGTTTGCAATCTTGCTTTAACCTGGTGTTTCGGTGTTAGTGGTGGGGGGCAGGGGCGGCCGAAGGCTTGACAACCTCCTCTTGGTTTTGTCTGAGATTTCGGTTGCAGAGAGAGAGAGAGAGAGATGGGGAGGGGGGAGAGAGAGAGCGAGATGTGGGGGAGAGAGAGAGAGATGTGGGGGAGAGAGAGAGATGGGGGGGAGAGAGAGAGAGATTGGGGGGGGGAGAGAGATGTGGGGGAGAGAGAGAGAGATGGGGGAGAGAGAGATGGGGGAGAGAGAGAGAGAGGCTGCTTTCTCGTTAGTTTATAACCTGATTATAGTCAGGATTTCTCTGTAAAAGAAAATCCCCTCTGGGCTGGGGAACTATGGCTGGTCAGTAACAACTACAAAGAGCAGAGTGCTGTACTGAGAGAGTTCTGCTCATGTGATAGAGTAACAGTACACTCTCGTCACTTTCATTTAAGAAAGCTGGTTAGAGGGAATGCAAGGTCCTCCCTCCCTCCCTCCCTCCCATGACTCCTTTCAGTTTCACCATTTCTTTATTTGGAGTCCTGTAGCGTAGTGGTGAGAGCACTCGCCTCACAAGCGATAGGACTGGGTGAAACGTGAGGCAACTTTCCTTACTCCACACACCTCTGTTTACATAGCAGTAAGTAGGAACCCAGTTGTTAAGTCGATTGGTGGATCACTTTCCGGGGATAATAATCCCTTCAAAAAATAATTTGGTCACTCAATCCACGGCTGTTTGTGGGACGCTGCTGTGTGCAATTGGCTGCCGCGTTTTGCCCACGAAATACACAGTCAATTTACTTTATAGTATATTCTGTGAAGCGCTTTGAGACGTCTCGAAGACGTGATAAGGCGCGATATTAAATGCACGGATTTTTTTAAAAAAGCTTTAACCCTTTCACAGCATCCGGCTGGGATTGGGTCAGACATTCGCTTCTCCTTGAATTCATGGTTTTAAATTTGTTTTTTGTATGTTGTGTGACTCGCGGAGCTGCGAGTGTGAGACTTTTATATCATTCGGCCCATGCAGATTACCACCCATCTCCCCACCGACTGCCTTTTACTTCTGGAACACTCTTCCCCTATCTCTCCGCTTTGCTCCTTCCTTCCCCATCTTCAGATCACGCCTGAAGACCTTCCTCTTTGACTGTGCCTACAGTCACCTCCCCCTGACTTGGTGTCGCACTCCGCCACTGTCAAGCGCTCTGGGACGCTACCCTGCGTGAGGGGCGCTGTGTAAATGCAAGTTGTACTTCCGGTGGCTGAGGCCTGAGACTAGTCCGAGTTCAATCTTGGTGATGTGCAGTGGATCGTCTGAGAACCTGAACATAGGCCACCGACCGGCCAGACTACATCTGGTTCAGTTTTGGCAAAGATTACCACCTCAGACACACACACACACACACACGCTGTGGAATACCATCTCGGTCAGTCTCTCTGTGACAAATATAACCGACGGTTTGCTCCATTCTCACAGTCACCAATTCCTCACCCAAGGGCTGTCCCTCACATGTGAGTCTTGACAGTTAGTGTGTATTTACCTGCTCCTGACCCTTACCCACCCCCACACTTGCCAGCAGTGGGGGCTTTTTTGATCAGCTGGGTATCTTGATACTTGCAGAAACACATCACTCTGCTTAAGCGTCTCTAAATGTGACTAAGAGTTACACATATGTATAGCACAGCACCCACACATGGAATTTGCCTGTGTGTGGAATGGAATGCGCAATGTCTCTCCCCAGAGGGACGCACTTGCTTACCTATTTATGGAGAATATTAGGCGGAGATTGCTGAGAGCTGAAGCGGGGGACTCCAGAGGGTATCCTTTGGGATAATGCTGGAGTCTTAACCAACTGAAACTGCATAGCTTGCCATTCAGATCACTGTCTGACAAGCTTCCTGCTGCTTGTCCACCAAGAATCACCCAACCCATTAGGGGTTTTGCCTCCAGGGTTTACAGGAGCTGAGTGGGAGGATTCACAACCCAGTGACTGGGTTAATGTATCCAGGGTGGCAACGGGTGAGAGGGACCCCAAAACTGCCCCGCGACCACCCGTTTCCCCACTTGACCAAACTCCAATTTGGCCTCAGCCTGACTCACCTCGGGATCAGTGTCGATGTTGTTAACTGGGAGTGGACGCAAAGTGTAGAGGGAGCTTTACTGTGTCTGTAACCCTGACCTGGGAGTGTGGACGCACAGTGTAGAGGAGCTTTACTCTGTCTCTAACCCTGACCTGGGAGTGTGGACGCACAGTGTAGAGGAGCTTTACTGTGTCTGTAACCCTGACCTGGGAGTGTGGACGCACAGTGTAGAGGGAGCTTTACTCTGTCTCTAACCCGTGCTGTGGCTTATCTATAAAACCTATGCAGCGCTTTTCTGGATTAGTTTCTGAAAGTGCTCTCTGTCATTTGCACACTGAGCCAGACCTCTCACAATTTGAAAGCATTCTAGGTTGAGTTTTTTTTTTGTTGAGTTGAGTAGAAAGATCCTGATACATCTATAATAATCCCTACATTTAATACAGTGCCTTATCACGTCAGAGGGAGGTCTCAAAGCGCTTCATGGGATTTACTCTGAAATGGAGTGAATGTATATTGGTAGGTAAATGTTGCAGCACAGTTGGGCATAGCAGTGCCCAACAAACAGCCGTGGTTTGAGTGACCAATTTTTATTTGGGGGGTTGTTGGCCAGGACACCGGGAGAGAGAGGGAAACTCTCTACCCTTTCGAATAGTGCTATGGGATCTTTAACATCCATCTGAACAGGCGGGGCCTCAGTTTAACATCTCATCGGAAGGACGGCACCTCCCGACAATGCAACACACCCCAGCGCTGCATTGGAGCATCAGCTTAGACTATAAAGTCGCAGAGTGGGGCTTGAACCCACAACCTTTTGAATCAGAGGCGAGAGAGAGAGCTACCATTGAGCCAAGCTGACATGATTGTGGAGTTTGTGCTGGTAACCTTTACCAGACTGGAAGTTTCTCTACATCTAGGCAGCCAGATAGGGAGTCCATATCACATCACACAGCCCACCTGAGTCGACCCTCTGAGTGTCGCCCCCCCCCCCCCATACACTTATATTTTTCCTTTTCAAATATTTTATCTAACTTCCTTTTAAAAGCTACAGTATTATCGATTCTGCTACAACCAGTTGTATTGGTCGAGCATTCCATGCTGGTGTGTGTCTGTGTCTGTCTATGTGTGTGTGTTTATGTGCGTGTGTGTGTCTGATTGTGTGTGTCTGTTTGTGTATGTGTCTGTGTTTATTGTGTGTGTGTGTGTATGTGCGTAGTATGGTGTGTTCATGTGCTGTGTTACACATGTGTCCGTGGGTTAATAATAATAATCCCTCCAAAACCCAAAACAATAATAAATTGGTCATTTTCAATCTATGACTGTTTGTGGGACATTGCTGTGCACAATTGGCTGCCGCGTTCACCCACAAATATACAGTCAATTCACTTTACAGTATGTTCTGTGAAGCGCTTTGGGACGTCCTCCCGACGTGAAAAGCGCTATATCAAATGCAAGGATTATTATTATTATTATTATTAATTAAATTCCTAGTTCTCTCTATGTCTTTTTGGTGATGATCTTAAACCAGTGTCCTCTCGTTGGCACTCACCTGACAGTGTAAATATCTTCTCCCCCATTTACCTTCTCAATCTTTACATTTGTGTTGAGTTCAGGAGATCACTGTGTCTGGAGCAGAATGGAGCCCTCTCGCCTCCAGCTCCAAGCAAATTGTTATCTCAATGGGTTTAATTCCACCTCAAGCTGAGGAGCCAATATGTACTGTTGCTTCTTTATATCCTAATTCTCCTAAACGGTCTGGGGTGCAAAACCACAGAAGCCCTGTCTTACACACACTCTCTCTCTCTCTCACACGCACTCTCTATCACTGTCTCTCTCTTTTCATTGTATCATTCATTCCTTGTTCTGTCGCATTCTCTCACTATCATTCTCACCCTCACTCTCAATCACTGTCACTCTGTCTTTCTCATACTGTCCCTCTCACTCTTTCATTCTGTTACTTTTAATCTCTCACTTTCTCTCTCCTCTTTCCCTGTCTTTATCATACTTGCACCCTCGCTCATTCTTGCTCTGTTTCTCGTATTCTGTCACACTCTCTCTTGCTCTCTTTCTCGCTCACTCTCTCTCTATTTCTCTCTCACTCTCTCTCTCTAATGCTGGAATGCTTTTCTCTTGCAGGCTGTTCGTCAAAGTCCTTCAAGTTATACTCGCCGAAGGAGCCTCCTAACGGCAACGCCTTCCCCCCCTACCACCCAGGCAGCATGCTGGATCGCGATGTTGGGTTAGTGCCCTTCACCTCTCAGTCTCTCACCAGCACATCATGCCAGCGTCATACACTTCATGTGATCTCTCCAGATCATCTCAGCTGGGGGAGGGGCGCTCTTTGTGCCGGGGGAGGGATGGTAAAATGGGAAAGAGTGAGACAACCTCTGGAGGGAATGAATATCTGTGTGTGGGGAGATCAGCTCATAGTCTGGATTGTTCTTATGCAATTGTTTTACACACCTGAGACCACCTCCATGTCACGGGATTGAGTTAGTTAATTGGAGTTGAGGTAAGATCAGCCATGATCTTATAGAACGGCGGAACAGGCTCAACAACAACAACAAGATTGCATTTGTACAGTGCCTTTCATGTCGGGAGGACGTCCCAAGGGGCTGAATGGCCTACTCCTGTTCCTATGGAATGTTATTAAGCCTCAAATTGCTGCACCTTCACTGCATAAAGCCATCTCCTCTAAATCATTCATTTCCAGCACCACAATATTGCAGAACCACTTCTTCCCTCGCTCTTCCCTCCCTCCTACACTCCTCCCCTCCCTCGCTCTTCCCTCCCTCCTACACTCCTCCCCTCCCTCGCTCTTCCCTCCCTCCTACACTCCTCCCGATCGCTGTCCAGTGATGCGTCTGGATGTGGATGTTGGGAGAGGACAGACTTCATTGGGAGAGGGCAGAGTTGGACTCGTTTTTTAGGCTCTCACATGAAAAATGTCCACTTTGGGAAGGTAAAAGAGAGCGACTGTTCCCCATGAAACATAGCACGAGTCGGCCCTTCAGAGAGGAATGCTGACTACGAAGAAGAAACAGTTAGTGAAGGATTAGAGTTGGACTGAGGTAGCCAAACTACACTGGGCAAATGAGCACAGAGACTGCAAATGCTGGTGGAGGCGAATCTATTGGATGTACTTCATTGACTGCAGGGATTACTCAGTACCTGCTCCTGTACAGGATGAAAATTCTTTATTATGAGTCGCAGGTCACTCTGCATAGCATGAGAGACGCAACTGGATCCTCATAGTTTCACCGTGTTCTCGGCTGGGGCTGGGGATTGGGATGGGGATGGCAGTGCAACGTTGTCAAATGTGATGTCTGTCCTTTGGATTTAACATTAACATTATACCAAGGTCTCATATGGCTATTCATGTGGGCACTACAGGATCCACATCACGATTGCAAAAATCCTGCAGATAAAACTGTTTTTATTCACCCTGTGGATGCTTGTAGGACATTACTCGGTGCAAAATTGCCTGCTGTGTTTGCCTACACTTTATAGTAATTCCTGTGCCACACTTTGAGACATTTCAATGACATGATAAGGTGCTGTATGAAAAGCACGGATTATTGTTTGTACCTCAACATTTTACATCAGTCCAAAGCAACAGTGCAGTGAAATGTCATTCAAAGCGTTCCCGTTCTGCTGAACGCCCTCTCCCCCAGTGTAGTTGCCTCAGCACCACCCTACTTCTGTGACCTAAAAGCCTACCGATCCACTCGCTCCCTCCACTCGGCAGGTATTATTTACTTGGCAGGTATTAGCCTGCTTCACATTACCCACCTGGCTGCCCCAACGTTAGCAGGACTTCAGCCTATCTGCCTCCGCTCTGGAACTCCATCCCGGAGTCCCGTTGTCTCGCCCCTTCCCTTGCCTCCCTTAAGGTCTGTCTCAAGACCTTACTCTTTGACTACCTTCAGTAATCTGCCCACCTGCTCTCCCGAATCCACCCCCCAGCTCAGGTGCAAACCTTCAGCTGTTTAGCACCTTGGGACATCCTCTTTACATGAAATGCGCTGTATAAATGCAATTTGTTGTTGTTGGATCTCTGTCCCTGAATCAAAATAACTGCCCACAAGTGTGGGTAAAAATCTTAATAATAATCCTTGCATTTGATATAGTGCTTTTCACATCTTCTCAACGTCTCAAAGCACTTCATAGAATAGGTTGTAAAGTGAATTGACCATATATTTGTGGGCAAAACGCGGCAGCCAATTGCATAAAGCAGCGTCCCACAAACAGTTGTAGATTGAAATGACCAATTTATTATTTATTTTTCTTGAGGGATTATTATCAGGCGTGTGGAGTAAGTTTTGCCCTGCTGGGAATCAAACCCAGGTCTCTTGTTTGTGAGGCGAGTGCTCTACCCACTGAGCTACAAAACTCCACAGTGGTACTCACCGAGGAGGGTACCTGAAGGATCTGTTGGCCTGTAATCCATGATCCGAGATTGGGATATTGATAGAATTCCTCCCAAATCTTCACATCAGAAAGCCTGGAAATGCAAAGCAAGGATTATGTTTCCTGATCTGGACACTGAGCCACATTTTCTGTTTTTATTTCAGTTTTCCAACATCCTCAGTTTCTTCCAATCTTCTCAATTTTTCCAACCATCACCAAGTCTGAGACCTCTTCCTTATAACAGTCACCTCAGGTATCTGTTACTATGGAGTCCTAATATTACAATGTGCCTGGGTTTGTTGGAGAATATTTTTCTTTGCAAACTTCTGGTGAAGATTGCAGGAACCTAATGGCTTGGGAATAGTTGGCTGCAATGTGACCTCTGGCAGCATTTTATCCCTCAGCAATCTGTCATCTTCAATATTGCTTTCCTTGCTATGTCCTCACTGGTTTTTAGACAATTCACTAATGCAGTTTCCCTGAGCCGGTTAAAGATTTACAACAACAACATTTGGGGAGAATGTCCCAATGGGGAGAATGTCCCAAGTTGCTGGACAGTCAGGGATTTGGACCTGAGCTGGAGGTTGGGATCATTTACAATTTAGCAGTTCATCACCATTTGTGCCTGTGGGACTGACCCAGCACCCAGTCTGCAGTACCGCAATGCTCCTGCTGGTGGTGCTGTCTACCCACTGACTGCAGTACCGCTATGTTCCTGCTGGTGGTGCTGTCTACCCACTGACTGCAGTACCGCTATGTTCCTGCTGGTGGTGCTGTCTACCCACTGACTGCAGTACCGCTATGTTCCTGTGGTGCTGTCTACCCACTGACTGCAGTACCGCTATGTTCCTGCTGGTGGTGCTGTCTACCCACTGACTGCAGTACCGCTATGTTCCTGCTGGTGGTGCTGTCTACCCACTGACTGCAGTACCGCTATGTTCCTGCTGGTGGTGCTGTCTACCCACTGACTGCAGTACCCCTATGTTCCTGCTGGTGGTGCTGTCTACCCACTGACTGCAGTACCGCTATGTTCCTGCTGGTGGTGCTGTCTACCCACTGACTGCAGTACCGCTATGTTCCTGCTGGTGGTGCTGTCTACCCACTGACTGCAGTACCGCTATGTTCCTGCTGGTGGTGCTGTCCACCCACTGACTGCAGTACCGCTATGTTCCTGCTGGTGGTGCTGTCTACCCACTGACTGCAGTACCGCTATGTTCCTGCTGGTGGTGCTATTTTGCATTCTGCTGCAGCGCCATCGGTCAGTGCACTGTTACAGTAACAGATTGTCATTTGGCTGTGAATCACAATAGTAGTCGCGGCTTTTGATACAGCGCCGTATCGTGTCATCGAGACGTCTCACAGCGCGTCACCGGATACACTGGGAGTGTACAAAACATATACAGAATTGATATATATCTGTTGTGGGTGAAACTCGGCAGCCGATTGCAGTGCCGCTGCCCCCGAGCACTGCGTTGGGCTGACACGTGTGTCGCGGGTGTGCAGTCGGGTGGGGCCGTTCTTCTGCAGTTGGGATAAGACCACTTGGAGCAGTGAAGGAGGAGCTTTGCTTTGACTGTACCTCACACTATTTGTGAGCTGCTCGTGCTCAGGTATTCACACTCAATCAGTAATTATTTTCACATTCTATTTTTTCCTCTCTTGACAGTCCGACACCTATGTACCCTCCGACATACTTGGAGCCCGGTATTGGGTAAGTCTCGCTGCTGAGAAACTATTTTATTGACAAAACATATGAATTCCCAGTGGATTCCAGATAACTCACGGAGCATATGATTAGTGCCGATTAGTGAGCTGTTCCCTCTCCATTCTGTTCCCCTTTGCCCCAGTGTTGGTTGGACGTGCGCTAACCCGCCTTGAAACACACCTGATGCTCTTTTCAAGTCATATAAACATTTACATGTGTTTCTCACTCAGTAGCAGTGAATTATCTGCGCGACCACTACAACCCTTGTCTTTGCCATTTTAGTCTACACCAATGTCAAAATTACAATGAACTCAGCACAGACTAATCCAGTGAGAAATGGAAGAGCCAGCGATAGGTGGACTGTGGAGAGGTGTGTAGCGAGCACCTCCTTGTTCAGATCTCTTATGACCACATTACCAGAGTCAAGTTACCTATGGCCATTTGCCTTAAGATCGCAATCCAGTTTGTGTGTGTGTGGGTGGGGATGTGATGTGGGAGTGGGTTTGTGTGTGTTTGTGTGTGGGTGGGTTTGGGGGGGTGGCATGGTGTGTGACGTTAAACCAGCTGTGACTCCTCCTGTGGTTGAATACCCTGATAAACTCACTGGTTCGTCAGACAGAGATTGCCGCTGGGTGAGGTGCCTGAGTGCATTCAGCGCCTGGGGAACAGTATGAGCTCGGCTCGGCATCTTCAGGGAAACTGGAGATCACTGGAGACGGGTAGACACTGTGTGGCGCTTTGAATGTGTTGTTTGTTGTGTTCACAGGAGGCACACTCCTTATATGAACCAGACAGACTACAGGATATTCGAGCTCAACAAGCGATTACAGAACTGGACAGAGGTAAACGCAAACCCCGCTAACTACCACCAACAATCCTACCCTCACCCCCACTTCCCAGTCCCCTCTGCTGTGAGTTTCCCCCTCTCTGACTTATCTCTGGTATTATGAATGAGATCTCTCTCTACCTCTTGCTCACTCGCTCGCTCTGCCTGGGAATCTCGGGACTGAGACCTTACTCTGACTGCGCTGCTCTCCACAGGAATGTGACAACCTCTGGTGGGATGCCTTCACCACAGAGTTCTTTGAGGACGACGCCATGTTAACTGTCACTTTCTGTTTGGAGGATGGACCGAAGCGATACAGTGAGTATACCATGAGGACAGGCGTCTATAATGAGTGCAGAATCGCTCCACTGTACTCTGGCCTTGCAAACCATTCACCTCAGTGGCCTGTGGCCGCTCCATGCCTTTTAAGTCTTTTCTTTAATGAGGAGCCAGAATTGGCCCCATCTATATCCGAGCCAACATCTCATATGTTTACCGTGACATCCTTGCTCGGGTATTCACTCATTGATATAAAAGCCAGAATTCCTGTGGTTATGTTCCCAGACTTTAATCAGGCGAGGTATAAACTGAGCCAGAAGTGCCCAGGTTGGGGTAATGGGTGATAGGTGACTGTTCTTCTCTTGCCCCTGCAGCTATCGGTCGCACTTTGATTCCTCGCTATTTCCGCAGTATCTTCGAGGGAGGAGCCACGGACCTGTACTACGTCCTCAAACACCCGAAGGAATCATTTCACAATAACTTTGTGTCGCTGGATTGTGACCAGTGCACAATGGTCACACAGCACGGGAAGCCCATGTTCACTAAGGTATGGCCAGCTCCCTTGCTGGAGGGAAGTGTGACCACTCTGTCACACTCTTCTCCCCCCCGCCCAGCCCCCCCCAGTAACACGGCAGGGGAATGGGGAGAGAGTGACGTAGAGTTTGAATGTGTGTGTAGTGGAGAGTAACGAAGGTGCCTTTAGCTGCCATCTGACTGTCACCCCTTTGGCGTGTAGGTGTGTGTGGAGGGCCGGCTGTACCTGGAATTCATGTTCGATGATATGATGAGGATCAAGACTTGGCATTTCAACATCCGTCAGCACCGAGAGCTGATTCCACGCAGTATCTTAGCCATGAACGTGAGTGCTGGTGTCCCACTGGTGTCTGGGGACGGAGTCTGGTGGTGGGTGGGGAAGAGGAGTGGGGAAACAGCTGGGGAGATAGCCAACTTTGGAACTCTCTCCCTCTATCCCTTCGCCTTGTCCATTTGTTCCATATTCAGATTGTGCCTGAAGACCTTTCTCTTCGGCCGTGCCTACAGTCACCGCCCCCCGACTCGGTGTCGTGCTCCGCCACTGTCAAGCGCTCTGGGACGCTGCTCTGTGGGAGGGGCGCTGTGTAAATACAAATTGTGCTGTTTGCTGATCTTTTCATTGTGACAGACCCAGGACCCACAGATGCTGGATCAGTTATCGAAGAACATCACGAGATGTGGCCTGTCCAACTCCACCCTCAACTACCTCCGAGTAAGCATGACGTCACCTCTAGAAATGTATTTATTTGCTTGGAAATCTCTGATTGCTGCTGATCTCTCCCTCCCTGGTTTGAGGCCATATCACCTCCTTGATTCCCTGCTGCTCGCCTGTGTTTCTGGGCCTTCACTCAGTCACTCAAGAGTCTTGATGTGTTGCCTTGTTTACAGTTTAGAAAACTTTCCATTTAAATCAGCTCAGGTGCCAGCCAGTACTGGTAAGCACTGTGGAAAGTAATCCCGATGTGAGAGGCACTGTGTAAATGTGAATTTGTGTTATATTGTAATTCAAGGTTGTCTTTGCATCCAATTCCTCTGTGTTTGGGAGTCGATAATTGGCCAGAGTTTGTGCTCCTGTCTCTCATCAATCTTTCTCCCTCCCTCGCTCTCTCTCTATTCCCTCGCTCTCTCTCTGGAAGCTGTGTGTTATTTTAGAACCAATGCAGGAGCTGATGTCCAGGCATAAAACCTACAGTCTAAGCCCCAGGGACTGCCTCAAGACATGTCTGTTTCAAAAGTGGCAGAGAATGGTAGCACCTCCAGGTAAGTGTGTCAGATATTCACAGATACAGTGTGTATAGTCCTGATGTGTATTCATCCACACTGACTACAAACACAGTGGTTGTTACAGTTAAGAATTTATAATTCATCAATGGATAGAGTGGGAGCCCTCTCTCTCCTCTCCCCCCCACCCCTCCCCCGAACCTGAATGAATCCTGGTGATCAGTGCCAGTGAAAGACTAAATAATATTGTAAAGCAGGACAGTGGTTTATAAACATGAGGTGACGCAAACATTTACTAAGACATAGAGAGTAAGAGGACAACCAATTCCCCTCTGTCCTGAATTACTGATCTCAGTTGGGGACCATGTTTGAAGCTATAATTGAGGGTGTGGAGCCTTGTAGCTCAGTAGTTAGAGCTCTTGCTTCGCAAGCGAAAGGACTTGGGTTCAATTCCTGGGCAGGGCGAAATGTTGGGCAAGTTTCCTTACTCCACGCGCCACTGTTTAGCAGCAGTAAGTAGGAACCCAGTTGTTAGGCGATCGCTTTTCCAGGGATAATAACCCCTTGAAAAATAAATAAATAGTAATAATTCTGTTACTCAATCCTGACTGTTTGTGGGACGCTGCTGTGCGCAATTGGCTGCCACACAAAAATATACAGTCAGTTCACTTTACAGTATATTCTGTGAAGCACTTTGAGACGTCTCGAGATGTGATAAGGCGCTGTGTCAAACGCAAGGATTGCTAATATTGATAGCTGCTGTAACGGTTGACATTCTCTGCCTCTGCAGCGGAACCAGCCAGACAGGCGCCAAGCAAACGCCGGAAAAGAAAAATGTCCGGCGGCAGCACCATCAGCAGTGGTGGCAACTCCAACACCAACAGCAACAGCAAGAAGAAGAGCCCAGCCAGCAGCTTCGCCCTCTCCAGTCAGGTACCTGTAAGCATCCACGCTTCCTTGGTCTTCACTCGCCTCGGGGAGGGACTCAGGGCAGGCGCAAACAATATGGTCGTGATCATCAACATCAGGGATGTCTGCTAGTAACAAAATGTTCCTTCAGTCTGTTACCACTGTCCCATCTACACTTCCAGGTCAGCGACAGTGTGGGTCAAGCTCCCTCTAAGTTGTGCGTCCACACTCCCAGGTCAGGGTTACAGACACAGTAAAGCTCCTCTACACTGTGCATCCACACTCCCAGGTCCACTGTGGTACAGAGGTAGATAGATTAGCCTGTGTCTCTGCCTTGTGTCTCTCAGCATGCCTTCACTCAGTACGATTTGACCCTCTGTTGCCGGTTGCAGGATGTGATGGTGGTGGGGGAGCCCACTCTGATGGGAGGTGAGTTTGGTGACGAGGATGAGCGCCTGATCACGCGGTTGGAGAACACTCAATACGACGCGACCAATGGCATCGATGACGAGGACAGCTTCAACAACTCGCCCGCCCTGGGGGCCAACAGCCCCTGGAACAGCAAACCCCCGTCAAGCCAAGAGAGCAAGTCAGAGAATCCCACCTCACAGGCTTCCCAATAAAGACCCCACACACAGAGAGGCGTGTGCTAGACAGCATCTACCTGTCCTGTCAATGTAAACGCAGCCGAGGTACCAGGTGTGTGAAGCCCCATCCCCCCAAACCGCAAGCCGTGTGTGAGGCCGTGTCACTCTCACCTTCTGAAGAAGTCGTTTCAAGGCTAAACTAGGCCTGAGGGCGGCAAAGATCTTTTCCAAATCCCGCACATTTCTCCCCTCACCTAAAGCTGCTCGTTCACCTTGTTCCCTCCATCGCTCTCTGTGGCCCCTGCGCTCTCTGTGGGGGGGTGGGGGGCTGCTGCCTGCAGACAGTCTGTGTCTGGCCTGACACCAGCTTCAATGTACCTGGTGACCCCAGGGAGAGTCTGGGTCAGGGCTAGGGGTTCCCCTGCTCACTGCTCGGGGACCACCCGTGGGAGGGTGTGTGTGTGTGTGAGAGAGAGGACAGGATCATTTGTGACCATCAATTTTGCTCAATGCACAGCCCAGCCCACCCAGCCTCTACCTGTCCAGCTCGTGCCCTGCCTACCCTACCCTACATGCCCAGCCTTTGCCAACACTCACTGTCAGGGTGCCACGTGTACAGTGGTCACTTGGAGAAGTCAGTTGGTCTCTCCTTGGAGAAGCGGGAGGAATGGAAAGTAATGGAGGAGATGAGGCGTCACTACCTTCTGTACATAATACAGCAATTGTAGGTGTGCCAAGGGACGCATGGGTGGGGTAGCGAGTGGTTCCCCCACATTGTGGCAAGTACAATGTATGGATTCCATAGAACCTTGTGACCTCCCCAGATAAATAGAGCACACGGCAGAGTCAGCAGTCTGCCTCCCAAGTGGGGGTAATGAAGGTAGGGCTCACGTTTCTGAGAGAGGGTGATTGATTGGGTGAAATAACTTGCCCACACAATGTAAAATGCAAGCAAGCGATCCTTCCTACTGCCCCACTGAATTCAAATCCACATCTAGCATGCTTCAAACATAATTGATCCAATTTTGTGCCATTTTAGTGAGCTCAGGAGGGGTTTTAAAGGTGTGTAAAGCAGACAATCCACAGTTGCTGTCACAGTGCTGACGGCAAGGCCACTGAAACTTCACTCCGGCTTCTTAAATGTTATGTATATTCTTTAATTTTTTTAAAAAAAGTAGTTATTTTGTCGTCAGAAGATTTGATGGAGTGAGCATGGTCTGCCACTTCTTTAGCCCCTGGTACCTCTGAAACCAAGAGAGACAGACAAAATCCCAGCTGCTTGACACGATTTTCTACTTGGCTGTAAATCTTGTAGAGACAGCAAGAATATAAAATGCACATTGTCTTGTTTTATACAGCAAAGAAATCTGAAAAAAAACTTTTGAAAAAATTGATAGAAGGAATGCGAAAGCCCTTTCCTCTCGGGATTGTTTGTAATGTTTTTAAATGTTGAACTCGTGTGGGGGGAATTGGGGTTTTTTGTTTGTTTTTAAGCCTCTTGATCCATGCATTTCTGCTTGTATATTACACGCTAGTACTTGCATTCTGTATTGCTGTCATTAAATGTATTGTAAAACCAACAGATGGTCACTTTATAAAGATGCCACATGTATATGGACTCCCACATACTTACTTGGTGACATGCACTTGTTGGTGTACAGTTAGATGGATCCATGTACTCAGTGGTAGGCATGCACATATATACTCTTATTGTGCCCACATTCAGGAGAGATACACAATTGGAAAAACACACATCAAGACATCTATGTAGACACATAGATATGCACCAGCACAAGTGTATGCAGAGAAGCTGAGATATGCACAAACTTAAGACAGACACTTCAGGGAGACAATGTAAGCAAGTTGTAGTTAAATGCTCAAGATTGATTGATGGGTTGTCCAGACAGGTCTGATGTGTCGTGACGCTCAAGGATGCCATGCAGAGCTAGTTTCTCTTCCTTTCTCCAAAAAAGGAGGTAAATCTGGGCTGTAAAAGACCTAATCTTTGCACCATATTTTTGGAGCGAATAATATCTCTGGGTGTAAAGTGGCTCATTCAGTTGCAATCATATCTCAAAGGCATAGACTGGGTTCAAGTTCCATGTCATATCTCAAGTTCATACTTCAGGCTGACACTCCACTGCAATACTGGACGTGCACTGCATTGTTGGATCAGATGTTAAACCAAGATGGGTTTAGCTGACTCAGCTGGTAGTCTCACCTCTGAGTCAGGAAGTTGTGGGTTCAAGCTCCACATCAAGCCTTTGGGTTAATAGTCCAGGTTGACCCTCCCAGTATATTAATATGGGTTGTTGATTTGTTAGAGGTGCCATCTTTTGGGTGAGATATAAAATCTGCTTCTTCGGGTTGTAACTACTTATGAACCAGCAGCTCGCTGGTTTGAATCCCAGTGTGTACTGATCAGCCTGGGCTGCATTGGGGTCTAAATTGGCCCTTGAGTTCTTTGGCGTTAGGGAAGTCCAAATCATCCAGGTTTCCTGTTCCTAATCTCTCTTCAGCTCCCTCTACTGCTGGTCTGTGTGTGTGGCAGCCAGGTGTCCAGGCCAACATGCTCTGATAAAATTCATCATTGACTTTGTGGATGTTTTGTGGGAGGTTGTGTGGGAGGTTGCTGTGTACAAATTGGCCGCTGTATTTGCCTACAAAATACATCATCACTGAATTTGACAGTAAATCGTGTGAAGTGCTTTGGGGTGTCTGCCGGATGTAAAAGGTGCTGTATGTAAGGATTATCAGGATTACAATAAAATCCTGATAACTCATCCTTCTGAGGGAAAAGGGATCAGTAATGAGTTTTCCAGAATGGTGAGTTAGACATATTTGTACATAAATAAATAAATGTGGCTGGGATATTGACAGCATGATATGTTATCAGGAGTTTACTATATTTCGTCTGAGCAGCCTCCTAGGTATTGACCAGCAGTACCAAACCTGGGGTAACTCTGAAGATTGAGTTAGGGGTTTTGGACGTGAGGTAATCAAGCTCACAACAATATAGTTCAACTTATTCTTGGGACATCCTCCCAACGTGAAAGGCTCTATACAAATGTAATCTTCTTGTTCTTTGTTATCAGCACTACAAAGGTACAGAAAAGGCTAATCCAGTAGTTACACAACACAATACAAAATTCCATGTGTACAGTGTCTTTCATGTCGCTAGTCACCTAATCCAGAGAACAGAGGGACAGCGGCTTCAACACTTTCCTCCTAGGTCTGGTCTGAAACAGCCGCTAGCCTGAGCTACATTTATACCCAACTTGTTTACTACATTAGCTTTCCTTCAACCATAACTACAAGGCCGTCTAGTTATCACACACAGACACGGACCTGATCGTCCATTTCCTGAGCCAGGCGGGTCTGCAGAACTCCAGGGCGCTGCTGAACAGCCAGCCTGGCTCAGGAGCTGGAGGGGCAGAGCAGTCACTAGTGGCAGGGATTCTTTCTACTCAGCACCTCCTAATCCTGCAAGCCAAGCCCTAATCGGTCGGGTGCTTCTTCAGACAAGGAGGGTGAAGTTTGCCAGATTGTTCTCTTAAGGACAAGCTACTTGGGTTTGGCTGGTTAAACTCCCAACAGTTAACCCAATGCAACTCTGGGCTCTCCAAGCTCTGGCTTTGCCAACCTGCACCAAATAATCTCCAGAATTAGTTAAGCAGAGAGGGTCTCTCATGGGACATTTGTTATAGTTGTGCAAATTTCCACATGTTGCTTCACACATGAATGTGGTACGACTAGTTTGGTTACTCCCCCACGTGCCACACTGACCAAAAAAAAGTTTCATCTGATCGTTGCAAGAAAATAAAGAATAGAAACCGACAATAATCAAGTCATTACAATTCACGATATAATCCTGTGAAGCTCTTGTCCTGTATCTGTCCTGTACATTTGCTGATATACTTGTGACAATGACCACCAACGCACCAGCATACAGCAGTGGCCAAGGAAAGTATGGAAAGGAAGATTTATTTTCCAAAAGTCATCTGCGCAGCATGGAGAATGGTAGTAGTTACCTTTCCATCTCAGACTCGAGCTTGCTTTCCGTCGCCAGTTACAAGCCCTGGGGTCAAGCTGAATTTCATTTCACAAAGCTCTTCCATGCCACAAATTTCCAAGGAGTGAAAGATATCCTTGAACGACAACGATTCTATGTGAAATCTAAGAAGATCATTGAAAAAAAAGAGATGTACTTCTCATGGTGGAGCGTTGCCATAGGCAAAGATATGATAATAGAAGAAAGAGAGAGACAGCGGAATGTTCTGTCTAATGCTGGAATAGGTGTAAACCGCTTGCCCGATCAGTTTCTCAATTCACCCGCTTTCCAGGACCAATCCCGATACGGTAATTATAAGTTCACCTATGACATTACCACTCTCATCGCTGAGTACAAAAATGCAATGTGTCCTGGCAACACAACAGAGATCAGTGTGTTGGGAACTTTCCAATATAAGTGCGAGAACATGCATGCAGTGGTGGTTCATGCTCCAGGTGAACCTACATTCGAGGATTTCCCTAGAATCCAGAATAATTCCTATGTTGTTTCCAAAACCCTTGAAGGCAATTGGATATGGAGCCCCGATTCAATAACTTCGAAAATCCCTCAACAACTGTTGCGTTGCACAAACAACGTATTTGTCCTGGGAGAACTTGAGCTTCGCTTTCTATCTGCCCAAAGAGAATCCAGAATTCAAGCTACCAGACCATGTCTCACATCTTTCATTCTGTGGGATAGGTCAACCAAACCTCTCCAGGGATAACCTGGATTGTTATAAAGCCAAGGTCTCTCTGCGGGATTGGGCAGAAACATCTGGGAACCTGGAAGAGGAACAGCGTTCAAGACTCCTTCAACTCACTCAGCAAGAGGAGAGCAACTGAGTGACTGGCTGCACCAGCACTGAAACAAGGTACATGGTCTCCAAAGCCCAAAGCATCGTCCTTACTGTGGTGAAGTTGCTATTGTTGTTATTATTCAGAATTCTGCAGCTCGTGTCTTCTCCTGTATCAAGCTCTGTGAACCGATCAACCCCATCCTTGCCGGCTCCACTATTCACCCCCCAGCCACCCACCCCCAACCCTCACCCACCCACCCCCACTCCAGGACCCAGCCCCACCCACACCCCACCCCTCACATCACTCAGAGGATTGTATTTAAAATACTTGTCCTCACTTTTAAAGCCCTCCACGGTCTTGCTTCTCCTTACCTCAACGACCTATTAACTATACCAACCTGTCCGCTCCCTCCACTCGGCGGGCACTGGTCTGCTTTCATGCCCCTGCTCTGCCTGTGCCACCATTGGCGGTCAGGCCTTCAGCCTTTCTGCCCTTATCCTCTGGAACTCCATCCTGCAATCCCTCCGCCTGCCCCCTCCAGTGCAAACTCTTAACTGTAATGTTTTGTTGTTGCTAACAGTTCAGCTTGTCTGTATTGGAGATTATAATTAAAAGGTCCTTTCAGTTTGCTATGCCTTGTGTTGAACTAAGTCTAAATCGCTCCTGATTCTCATATTCTGCCTTTTTTCTTACCCCCTGTTTAGCCAGAGAACAGGGCAGCAGTCATACTGTCCCCCAATCAATGTCACAGAGCTTGAAGGTATTTGATAACCAATGCTTCAGTGATTAGAATTGGGGCTTCTCGAGTCGGGAAGATGAAGCCAGTATCCCGTTTATATTAACAAATTTAAAATACACACTTCTCAAGATAACTTTAAAATATATTAACGACACCCCAAAGCCTTAAGTCAAGTCGGAGTTGAAGTACATAAAATGCTGGCATTTAACCGTTTGAGCTGAGGAGCGAGCTGACTTTTTTTGAAAATACATATTTATTTATAAATATAATATTTGGGACAACAGAAATCCCAAATAAACACAATGTACAACATCTTCTGTTACATTTTTTCCTTTTCTCGCGGTACAAAAACATTCCATTTACGGTACATTTCTTGAGCAGAGTGAGCTGACCCACTTGTCTGTTCCAAGACCCTCCGAGGTGCAACTCTGCTGCCTGCTCAAAACCTAGTGCTTTATCCCCTTGTGAGTGGGGATAAAGGCTCCGCCCTGTTCATGTCCCCCACCTCGCTCGCCCCACTACTGCACCCCAATCAATGTCATGGCGCTTGGTATTTGATACCCAATGCTTCAGTGATTAGGATCAGGCCTTCTCGAGTCGGGAAGATGAAGCCAGGATCCTGTTTATATTAACAAATTTAAAATACACACTTGTTTTTTCCCCTTGTGAGTGCACACTCACACAATACACATTCATTCATACAATAAGTTTCTATGTAAATCAAGCGACTTTCGGACAACAACATCCTTTAACCATTCAAATGAGTTTCAGGTTCCCTGGTCATGAAGTCATCACCACCACGCCTCTCTGTCCCGCTTGCTATCTTTACTCCCTTTACTGGCGGCACAGACACGATGGGCTGAATGGCCTCCTTCTGTTCTGTATAATTCCATGAATCTATGACATATTTATTCTTGGCATAAAATATCACAACAGGGAAGGCTGGGCAGTTTGTGCTGCTTTTGTTACTCATTTCAGCAGAAGGTAGTCAGGTTTATGAAAGCTCGAGGCATGAAGGGAATAAGTTGGACAGCGGGATACAATCTGACAGTTCTGATTGCTGGACTGAGCAGCCTCCTCCTCTGCCGACTTCTCCTCCCTCTTCCCTTCCCTCAACCTCTCCCTCCTCATCCACTCCTCCACCCACAAGGTGGGCCATACCCTGGACCCGGTGATCACCCCGGGGCCTCACCATCTTGAACATCACCATCATCGACAAAGCCATCTCGGACCACTACTTCATCTCCCTCAACACCCCCTTCCCCTTTCTCAACCCTCCACCATCACATACCATCTGTGGAAAAAAATTTCCTCCTTCTCCCTCTCCACTGCCTTGGAGTCATCTGAACTCTTACACCTCTGGCCCTCCCTGTCCGATCTCCACTCTTCACTCTTCTTTCTCCACAACTCCCTCTCCTTCATTCAGGACTCCCTTACCCCCCTCACCTCCTGAACTGCCTCATACTCCCATAAATCCCCCTAGTACACCAGCCATCTCCATTCCCTCAAGGTACAAGTGTGAGCTACCGGACGTGCCTGGACCAAATAACGGTCAATCTGCAGATTTGGCTTCACCATGCCAAGAACTACCGCTGCGCTCTTGCCTCCGCCAAATCCTCCATCTACTCCAAGGTTATCTTAAAGGCAAAGCACAACCCTCAGCTTCTCTTTTCCACCACAAACCGTTTCCTCCGTCCACCTTCCCATACCTCGCCCATCCTCTCCTCAAACTCCAACTGTGAGGAGATGCTGAACTTCCTCAAATATAAAATTGAGGAGATACATTCAGCCACCTCTGCCCCGTCCACTGCCACCCCCATATCACCTCTCCCTCATGACCCACCCTCCCACCCATCCCCCCCGATACTCCTTTGACCCTATCTCTCCCTCCTCCCTCACCGCGATTGTTCGCAAACTCAAACCCACCACCCGTTCCCTCGATCCCATCTCCACCTCTCTCCTCATCTCCCAGCTCCACCTTCCAGCTCCTCTCCTGTCCGATGTCATCAACCTCTCCTTGTCCACTGGTTCAGTTCCAACCCCCCTAAAAACAGCCGTCATCACCCCCATCCGGAAAAAACCTGCCCTGGACCCATTCCTCCTCACCAGCTACCGCCCCATCTCTAACCTCCCATTCCTCTCCAAGGTCCTGGAATGAGTCATCGCGTCCCAGCTCCGCTCCCTTCTCTCTCGCCATTCCCTCTTTGAACCCCTCCAATCCGGCTTCTGCGCTGCCCACAGCACGGAAACAGCCCTGGTCAAAGTCACTGACATTCTGAACATCTGTGATCAGGGCTCCCTCTGTCTCCTTGTCCTCCTCGATCTCTCTGCCGCCATCGACACTATCGACCACTCCATCCTCATACACCGCCTCTCCTCTTTACTTAATCTTCATGGACCTGCCCTTGCCTGGTTCAATAACTATCTCTCTCATCGTCTCCTCCTTGTTGCCTCTAATGGTTTCTCCTCCAGCTCCCGCACTGTCACATCTGGCGTCCTCCAGGGCTCTGTCCTGGTCTCCTCTTTAATATCTACATGCTCCCCCTTGGTGACATCATCCGCAGACATGGGGTCAACTTCCGTATGCCGATGACACCCAATGCTATCTTTCTGCCTCCACCCTCAACTCCAGGACCACTGCTGTCCTGACAGACTGTCTGTCGGACATCAAGTCCTGGATGAAGGTAAATTTCCTACAGTTGAATGTGAACAAGACTGAGGCCCTCCTGATTGGCTCACACCAGTGCCTCAGCACCTCAGGCTCTGGCAGCATCACCTCCATGGTTATACACTACAGCTCACTACAACTCACCAGCCAGTCAGGAACCTGGGGGTCTTGTTCGACCCTCAACTGTCTTTTCTTCCCCACATCCAAGCCATGACCCGCTCTGACCTCCCTCACCTCCGTAACATCGCCCGACTCCGCCACTACCTCACCCCTCAGGCGCTGAAACTCTTGTTCATGCCTTCATCACCTCCAGGCTCGACTATGCAAACGCCCTACTTGTCGGCCTTCCCAACCCCTCCCCTCACAGGCTGCAGATAATCCAGAACTCTGCAGCCCGTGTCCTCTCCCACACCAAACTCCGTGACCCCATCTCCCCCATTCTCTCCCGACTCCATTGGCTCCCTATCCTTCAGAGGATCCAGTTCAAAATCCTGGTCCTCACCTACAAAGCCCTCCATGGTCTCACCCCACCCTACCCCTGCGACCTCCTAACCCCCCATCAACCCGCCCGCTCCCTCTGCTCAGCCAACTCTGTCTGCTCCACGTCCCCCGACCCACCCGCCCCACCATTGGCGGGAGAGCCTTCAGCCACTCTGCCCCCAACCTCTGGAATTCCATCCCCCAATCACTCCGCCTCGCCCCCTCTTTATCCTCCCTCAAATCCTGCCTCAAAACCCTCCTCTTCAACCATGCGATTGGTCACCCCCCTTCCTCAACCCTCCCTTCTCCCCCCTGACCCCAGCTTGGGTCTGAAATGCTGTACACTGTCCAGCTCCTTGGGACGTCCTCCTGACTTGAAAGGCGCTATACAAATGTAATCTTGTTGTTGTAAATTGATATTATTCTATGATTCTAATCCCATTCCACTGTTCTGTTCTCATTATGTTTGTGCTGGTGTGAGTCCTCCCTTAATGGAGCTCTCTAGTTTCAACCCATTCTATTGCTCCTTCCCCCTCAATGTCTTTACTGATCCTCGTGGAGGCTTCACACAGAGTAGTGGCACTGTTGGTTCATTAGGGTTGCTGTAGTCTACATCTCATTACCTCCTTATGTGCAGGGTGTGGGTCAGGGTATATTGCCATGTTTCTATGACTGTGGGGTGAGTGAGGCTAGTTCTAGTTCTGTGCTGTGCCGGCCGTAGTTTGATTGGTGCAAAATGAGAGAAAGCTGTAGTCAGGAAGTTAATGTTTAAGTCGCTGGGTAAGGTTATGGCACCTGGTTAGGGTATCGCTGGCTTCACTGCAGTTGCTGAGCTACGCCAAGGCTCTACAACGTTGTACGTTGAGCAGTGAAATCATCTTGTATTGCAGATTGCTGTGCTGGAATTAGTACACGTGACTCCAGTGCTTTCTGCTCCTCCGATTACTTGGTCAGTGAAAATAGTACCCAATGTTTTCCTGTATACAGTCACAGGTCCCTGATCTATCGTCCTGTAGCTCAGTGGTTAGAGCGCTCGCCTCACAAACGAGAGGACCCGGGTTCAATTCCCAGCAGGGCAAAACCGTAGGCAAGTTTCCTTACTTCACACACTCCAGTTTAGCCAGCAGAAAGTAGGAACCCGGTTGTTAGACGACTGACAGATAATAACAATAATAATAATAATAATCCTTGCATTTGATATAGTGCTTTTCACGTCGGGAGGACGTCCCAAAGCGCTTCACAGAACACACTGTAAAGTGAATTGACTGTATATTTGTGGGCGAACGCGGCAGCCAATTGCGCACAGCAATGTCCCACAAACAGTCGTAGATTGAAAATGACCAATTTATTATTTTTTAGTTTTGGAGGGATTATTATTAGGCTCTGTGTGGAGTAAGAAAACTTGCCCAAGGTTTGGCCCTGACCCCCCCGGGGATTGAACTCAGATCTCTCGATTGCAAAGCGAGTGCTCTAACCACTGAGCTGCAGGACTCCACGATCATTTTTCTGGGAGTCTTAAAAAAATTAAAAACCCTTAAAAAAATAATAATAAAATAATAATAATCCATGACTGTTTGTGGGACGCTGCTGTGCGCAATTGCTGCCGCGTTGTCACAGAATACATAGTCAATTCACTTTACAGTGTATTCTGTGAAGCTTTGGGATGTCTCGAAGACATGATAAGGTGCTGTATCAAATGCATATTATTATCTGTGCTCAATAAGCTGGTTGCAGCATTCGGGGCAACCATTGGACTCAGCATCTGGGCTGGAGAGGGCTTTAATGAGCGCAACATCAGCCAGGATTCCTGTTCCTTATCACTGTCCAGAATAACGTTGCTCATTGGGTGAGGTCGGGATAATGTATTGACTGTGAAGCCCTCTATTGTGATGCCCTATATCACAACTTTGAGCTCCGAGTTTAGGCTGCCACCCTGATAAAGTGCTTTCCAACCTTAGCTCAGCATCATTAAGTGCAGCCAGTACCATTAAGAGCCTTTAGGATATCCTGCCAACGTGAAAGTCACTATATAAATGTAAATACTGTTGTATTGAATTCATCCTTACCAACCACCACAACATCTCTCTATTGCTTACCGCCCCCCACCCAAATATCCCTCCAATCCTTCTCAACAACCTCACCTCCCACTACATCCCTAATAACTGATTCCACAACTATTTACCTTTGTGTCATAAAATTCGGGCCCAAACCTTCCACCTTTATTTAGAATTGTCATACTCTGGAATTTGGACCCTATTCACAGTTAGATTACAATGTTGGTCAGGTCACTTTCCTGGCTTATTTCCTTGTAACTTTAGTTCCTGATGATCTGTCAGAAATCATCCTGGTCATTCTGTTCACATTTTCAAGACTGAGGTGGAGAGATATTTGTTAGGTCAGGGTATATAGGGACGTGGGGTAAAGGTGGGTAATTGGCGTTGAGGTACAGATCAGCCATGATGGTGTAGAATGGCGGAACATGCTCGAGGAGCTGAATTACCTCTTCCTGTTTCTATGTTTGTCGCTGTACATCCTGCCAGTTTGGTAACTTACTTCCTCAGCCTAGGTAACCAGTAAACATGCTCCAGTCAAGGTCAAATAGGTCACCATTTAAACGAAGAACAACAATTCCTTTGTCCTCTTGCCCCTACCAGTGCAACACACATTGCAAAACATTTCCTTATTGGCATAATTACACTGCAAACTGCTTCCTCCTTCTGTTTATTGCACTCGTCCACAGAAGGGAAATAGGATTAAAGGAGACTTCAGATCTAATCCCATTCCTCTGTTTTTACCCCAGTGTGAATATGTGTTTAATAAACAGCGACTGTTTGTGGTACACTGCTGTGTATAATTGGCTGCCTCATTTCAACAACAACAACAACAAATTCCGTTTATAGAGCGCTTTTCACGTCGGGAGGACGTCCCAAAGCGCTGCACAGTTAGGTCAGGACCCGAGCATTGGGGGGAAATGGTCAGGGTGAGGGGAGGGAAGGGAGGGGGCGAGGAGGGGGGAAATGGTCAGGGTGAGGGGAGGGAAGGGAGGGAGCAAGGAGGGGGTAGAGAGTCGAGAGGGGAGCTGAAGGCACGGTCAAAGAGAAAGGTCTTGAGACCGGCCCTGAAGGAGGAGAGGGAGGAGGCAGCGAAGGCACTGGGGATGGAGTTTCAGAGCCTCGGGGCTGAGAGGCTGAAGGCCACCGATGGTAGGGCGGTTGGGGCGGGGGACGTGGAGCAGACCGGAGCCAGAAGAATGGAGGGTACGGGCAGGTAGGTAGGGGGATAGTAGGTTGGAGAGGAAGGAGGGAGCGAGGCCGTGAATGGCCTTGTAGGTGAGGATGAGGATCTTGAATTCAATCCTCTGGGGGATGGGGAGCCAGTGGAGGCGAGCGAGGGTGGGAGTGATGTGGGCGCGGTGTCTGGTGCGGGACAGTACACGAGCTGCAGAGTTCTGAATGACCTGCAGCTTGTGGAGGGAGATGGCGGGAAGGCCGCGAGGAGAGAGTTCCCATAGTCCAGCCCATAAAATGCAAAATATAGAGTCAGTTCACTTTACAATATGAAGCACTTTGAGACGTCTCAATGATGTGGTTAGGCACTATATCAAATGCAAAGATTATTAAAGTTAACCTCTAAACATCTCCGAGACATTATTCTACCTGCTGGGTGCTACATACATGCAAGCTGTACCTTTTTTGTGTACAAAACATTTGGATGGTTGCGTCACTGACACACTATCACTCTGTGATTTCATTTCATTAACCTGGGAGGGAACAAATTCAAATGAGGTTCTGTATTATCCTTAAACCAGAAGCCGTGTGTCTACATCTTGTGTCTGAGACTCATTTCTCTGTTACAAGCGGTTAATGTATGCTAATGATTAACCTCACTCTGCTTTTACACAACAGTCGTCTTCCTGCAACTCCAGGCACCACAGAGTAACAAACTCGGTAAGTTTCTTCACAGGAAATGTTTCTGAATGTTTTTCTTTGCTGCTTGTTGGGTACAGTTTGATGATACCATCACTGTTTGAGGTGTGGGTTGAGGGGTGATATTCATGTTGGCTGGTGCCGTACGGTTTAAACTCTATATTGATTCATTTTAGTTACAGGTCGTTTCATTTGTCGGACCCTGCAATACTAACATAACTGAGAGGAAGGCTTTGAAATAGTGTGGGAAGCTTTGATGTACATGTAGTTACTGTGACAATGTGGTTTTACTATAGAAGATTTATGATAGGATAGCGTAAATAGTAATAGATTATTTACAGTGGTCGCTGAATCAGTTATAGGGGGTGTAATTGAAGTTGAGGTACAGATCAGCCATGATCTCATTGAAAGGTGGGACAGGCTCGAGGGGCTGGATGGCCTCTTCTGGTTGCTGTGTTCCTATGTGGCACACGTTTAAGATAATCACAAAGAGAATTAAAGGGGAGGTTTAAGAAACCATTGTTTCCACAAACGACGGTTGGAAAATTTCAGCCAAAAATTGTTGTTGAACTAAAGTCCATTGTTTGTTTTAAAATGGAATTAAATTGATGCTTGAAAAAGAGTCATGTTAAAGGGTGTGTCTAGGTGTGTGAGTGAGTGAGAGTAAGAGAGTGGTCTCATGTAGAGAAAAGCCCTCGGCCAGGAGAGAGGGGCCCACTGGCTTGTTTTCTGGGATTCCTGTTATTGCTTGAATAAATTCTGGGATACTTCCACCTCCATCACTGCTGGATTTGCTTCACCAAGTACGTTGACCAGGGCGAGTGTCACGAGACTGAGAGAGCAATCATGGAAAACCCGCTGCTCCATAAAGTACCTAGTTTGATTGGTGTGGGGGAGGGTGGCATGGCCGGAGAAGGTCCTTCACATAGTGATAGCCATGTTGGGAGGGGCAGCGTCCTGGGGTCAGATGGAGGCCTGGGAGCTGGCATCACAGAATAATAATGTGGTCACTCAATCCACGACTGTGTGTGGGACGCTGCTGTGCACAATTGGCTGCTGTGTTTCATCCACAAAATATACAATCAATTCACTTTACAGGATATTCTGTGAAGCACTTTGAGACGTCACGAAGACGTGATAAGGCGCTGTATCAAATGCAAGAAATATTATTATTATTGAAAAGTAGATTGACTATGTAATTTGTGGGCGGACAGGAAAGGGTTTGGATGATTTAGACTGTGACAATACGAGTGTATTCGGAGAGAATTTGATTCAATTGAGATTGTGCATAATGGGAATTACACAGATTGATACGTCATGGAAACAGGCCATTTGGCAACGAAGGGGAAAGAGATAAGGCACCTACAAATTGTTTCACTTTAAAAATCCAGTATGATATCTCTTTAATTTGTTTATTATTTTTTCATCCTCTGACCAGGTTGGTGTTTGGCCTGAGAGCACAGACTGAGAGTGGTTATAATAATAGTAATAATAATAATTCTTGCATTTGATATAGCGCCTTACCACATCTTCGAGATGTCTCAAAATGTTTCACAGAATATACTGTAAAGTGAATTGATTGTATATTTTTGGTGTGAAACGTGGCAGCCAATTGAGCACAGCAGCGTCTCACAAACCGGATTGGATCGTGGATTAAATGACCACATTATTATTATTATTTTTACTGTTTGCCACTTGACTAATTCCCCTCAGGATTCAGGAGAGTATCTAGAGTGAATTCCACTCCCCCAACATCCTGCACATCACTCCCTAGGGACCTGTTGCTGCCTGCGGTAGAAGCATCCTATTTAGATAAAGTTCACACTAGGGTTTAACCAAGCACGTTCGCTTCCTGGCATTCAGTGCCGATGGCCTATACAACTCAACTTCATAATCTTTGGCTGGATTTGTAGCGTTCAAGATAAATTCAGGGAGCTTTATCGTGTCTCTAACTCGTGCTGTGACTGACCTGGGAGTGTGGACACACAGTGTAGAGGAGCTTTACTGTGTCTCTAACCCTGACCTGGGAGTGTGGACGCACAGTGTAGAGGAGCTTTACTGTGTCTCTAACCCTGACCTGGGAGTGTGGACACACAGTGTAGAGGAACTTTACTGTGTCTCTAACCCTGACCTGGCAGTGTGGAGGAACAGTCAGTTTCACCCAGTTTCCATCGTGAAGCATCAGGCAGTGCGGAATGAGGTCTGATATCTCTATGCACAGGAGACGGGGCAGCCAGGTGAATGATGAGACATTGTTTGCAAATAAAACTGGTTGCTGATAATTTGTTTCTCCATCTTCCCAGCAGGTCTCTGCCTTTCTCTGCGATCCCATTAGGAACAAGCAAGAGCGTCAATACTGGATCGACTTAATTACTTGAAACATTTTTTTTCTTGTATTAGTACAATTTTAATTTCCATTGTATCACTGCCCCATTCCCGATGTCTGATATGGCTTCCCACCAGCACACTGCCTCACCTCACCTCACTATCTCCAGACTGTGGCCCCTCATTTGTGTTTTCCTGACATGTTTTCCACAATCTGTTATCAGTCGGACCTGCCAGAGCACAGAGCAGAAGTTCCACAGGTTTCCTCAAGTCACCTACAGTGACAATCCAAACCCTGACCCCGGAGGGTTAACAGCCCTGTACAGCATGGTCCACACCTTCCTCAACATGGTGCAGCCCAATCCTTTCCCAGCAGGTGAGCAAACTCGACCATTCAGCAAATCCCTCCCAACACTCAGTGAGCAACCGGGTATCAGGGAGAGACAGAAAAGGAGAGAGAGGAGGATTTCATCCAACAAGAGCACTTCCAGCTTCTTTCACATAAAATCTCTCAAAACTCACACACCGTGAGTAAAGTGCTAGGCTATAAGGAAATGTTGCACATTGAGCTCAGATCATCAGAGTCAGTCGCTAAAGCTGCACCAAGAGTACAAAGTACAAATCACATAGATTTACATGGAATATTCAGTAAGAATATGTTTCTCCTAAATCACCTTTGAGATGCCCCATTCACTGTCTTTTACTCGTGCCCCTTGTTATGGACTCACCAACAAGTGGGAACAGCCTATTCCCTTTTCTCCAGCTACCGCCCCATCTCTAACCTCCCATTCCTCTCCAAGGTCCTAGAATGAGTCATCGCGTCCCAGCTCCGCTCCCTTCTCTCTCGCCATTCCCTCTTTGAACCCCTCCAATCCGGCTTCCGCGCTGCCCACAGCACGGAAACAGCCCTGGTCAAAGTCACTGACATTCTGAACATCTGTGATCAGGGCTCCCTCTGCCTCCTTGTCCTCCTCGATCTCTCTGCCATCTTCGTCACTGTCGACCACTCCATCCCCAAACACAGCCTCTCCTCTTTACTTAATCTTCGCAGACCTGCCCTTGCCTGGTTCAATTCCTATCTCTCTCACCATCTCCACTTTGTTGCCTCCATCGGTTTCTCCTCCAGCCCCCGTACTGTCATGTCTGGCGTCCCACAGGGCTCGGTCCTTGTCTCCTCTTTAATATCTACATGCTCCCCCTTGGTGACATCATCCGCAGCCATGGGGTCAACTTCCACATGTATGCGGATGACACCCAATGCTATCTTTCTGCCTCCATCCTCAACTCCAGGACCACTGCTGTCCTGACAGACTGCCTGTCGGACATCAAGTCCTGGATGAGGGTAAACTTCCTACAGTTGAATGTGAACAAGACTGAGGCCCTCCTGATTGGCTCACACCAGTGCCTCAGCACCTCAGGCTCTGGCAGCATCACCTCCATGGTTATACACTACAGCTCACTACAACTCACCAACCAGTCAGGAACCTGGGGTCTTGTTCGACCCTCAACTGTCTTCTTCCCCACATCCAAGCCATGACCCACTCTGCCCTCCCTCACCTCCGTAACATCGCCCGACTCCGCCACTACCTCACCCCTCAGGCGCTGGAACTCTTGTTCATGCCTTCATCACCTCCAGGCTCGACTATGCAAACGCCTGCGTGTTGGCCTTCCCAACTCCTCCCTCCACAGCTGCAGATAATCCAGAACTCTGCAGCCCATGTCCTCTCCCGCACCAAACTCCGTGACCCCATCTCCCCCATTCTCTCCCGACTCCATTGGCTCCCTATCCTTCAGAGGATCCAGTTCAAAATCCTGGTCCTCACCTACAAAGCTCTCCATGGCCTCACCCCACCCTCTGCGACCTCCTAACCCCCTACGAACCCGCCCGCTCCCTCCGCTCAGCCATTTCCGGCCTGCTCCAAGTCCCCCGCCCCACCCGCCCCAACTTCTGGAATTCCATCCCCCGGTCACTCCGCCTCGCCCCCTCCTTAGCCTCCTTCAAGTCCCGCCTCAAAAACCCTCCTTTTCGACCATGCGATCGGCCACCCCCCCTTCCCCTCCCCTCCCTTCTCCCCCCTGACCCCAGCTCGGGTCTGAAATGCTGTACACATTGAGACATCCTCCCGACGTGAAAGGCATTATACAAATGTAATCCTGTTGTTGTTGTTGTTATGCTAATCATATGAAACTTGTTTATAATTTTAAACACCTCTATCAGGTCCTCTGTTAGACATCTCTTCTCTGGTGAAAAATGACCTAATCCGTCCAGTTCTGGTCGGATGTCACAAGATCGGTTTGCATGAAGGTGGCCCTTCTGCCCATCTGATCTCATCACTCCGGAACATTCTCCTGGCCGCACCCATCACAGCATCAATCACCTTTTCTAACAGCTTGTTACAGTTGTACATTACCTTCTGGGTCTGTCCTGAAATGGCTCTTTGCAACTCTACATCTGTTGTCTCTTCTACTGTCGTCGTACATCTTAAGATTAACTCAATTGTTGAGAAATGTATCTACTCAATTGTGCCGGTAACAGCCATTTTGTTCTGTTTTGTAGATTTAATCCAATCTTTAATCGAAGACGTCAGTGACTTTGAGGACCACTATATAAAGGTGAGGACCACAGTGAGAGCAAACTTAGTGAGGTAATACACACCGTGAGTGAGGTAATACACACCGTGAGTGAGGTAATACACACCGTGAGTGAGGTAATACACACCGTGAGTGAGGTAATACACACCGTGAGTGAGGTAGTACACACCGTGAGTGAGGTAATACACACCGTGAGTGAGGTAATACACACCGTGAGTGAGGTAATACACACCGTGAGTGAGGTAATACACACCGTGAGTGAGGTAATACACACCGTGAGTGAGGTAATACACACCGTGAGTGAGGTAATACACACCGTGAGTGAGGTAATACACACCGTGAGTGAGGTAATACACACCGTGAGTGAGGTAATACATATGGTGAATGAATGGTAAGACACACAACAACAACAACAGCGTGCACTTATATAGCGCCCTCCACACAGGGTAGAATCTCAAAGTGCTTAACAGTGGCAGAGCCCGACTCCGAGCAGCCGGGGGGTGGGGCGGAGGGTGTGAGGGACGACAGGAGCCGGTGCCAGTCGAGCGGAGGCACTGGGTGGGGGATTGGGGAGTGAGGGGGTTGGAGAGGGAGGGAGGTGCCAGAGAGTGAAGGGATTGGACACAAGTGAGAGGATCTTGAAGTCGATCGGTTCGGTGATGGGGAGACAGTGGAACCGGGGCCAGAACTGGTGAGATGTGGGGACGGAGTATGGTCAGTATGAGCTGATCTTGTGAATGGTGGAGCTGCGGAGACCAGCGAGACTGAGGGAAGACACACAGTGGATGGATAGTAGCAACTGTGATCAAGTAAGTGACAACCCTAGCAACTGTGACTGGGGGTATTTTCTAGCAAGTTAACTTGCCTTGGAAGATAAACTTTATTATTCGCTGTTGGTTGCTTGTTTACTGAGCCACTCCTTTACCTTTCTTATTAGAATTGAACCCCAGGAAAGTGATCCATCAATTGACTAACAACCGGGTTCCTACTTACTGTTAGGTAAACAGAGGCGTGTGGAGTAAGGAAACTTGCCTAATGTTTCGCCCTGCCTGGGAATCGAACCCAGGTCCTCTCGCTTGTGAGCGAGTTCTCTAGCCACGAAGCTACGGAACTCTGGTGGACATAGTGTCTCACTCGGCCTTGTGATCTCTTGTTCAGATATTAGAATACCAAATTGGTTACCTGGTGTGTGCCGCTATCGGGATCCTCTTCTTCTGCCTGATGCCAATCGTAGGCATGTTCTTCTGCTGCTGTCGCTGCTGTGGGCTGTGCGGCGGGAAGATGTATCACAAACAGACCAAATCAGTGAACTGTAAGCGTCGTGGCCTGGCCATTGGCCTCTCACTGGTGACCACCTTCATGCTGTGAGTTTGTGCTTATTTCCCTGCTTCACCATTGCCTTTTCTATTCTCTCTCTCAAACTATGTTTGATCAAGGAGGGCTGGGGTGGGGGTGCCATTAACTGGCAACCAAATGTCATGATCCAGAGGCCGATACCAGACACCCAGACACTGCCATTGAGAAGGTGTGGGGAAGAGGGATCACCAGTGTGATAGTCATTGTATCATAACCTCTCTGGCTCACACATTAATGTCACTAATAATTAATAAGAATGATTCATAGCGTCTTTCACATCAGGAGGATGTCCCAAAGCACTTCACAAGATATACTATAAAATGTAGTGACTGTGTGTTTTTGTGGGTGAAAGCAGCAGCCAATTTTGCGCATTGCAATATCCCACAAACAGCCATGGAGCGAGTGACCAATTTTATTTGGGAGTTTGTCAGCCAGGACAGCGGGAGAGAGAGAGAGAGAGAGAGAGAGAAACTCCTGTCTCTTTTCGAATAGCGCGAGATCTTTAACTTTCACCTGAACAGTCACAGCCAGGGACTTGGTTTAACGTCTCGTTAAAAGGATGGCACATCCATCAATGCAGCGCTCCCCCAGCACTTATACTTGCGTTCGCCCACAAGTATACAGTCAATTCACTTTACAGTGTGTTCTGTGAAGCGCTTTGGGACGTCCTCCCGACGTGAAAAGCGCTATATCAAATGCAAGGATTATTATATTATTATTATTGGAGTGTCAGCTGGACCACAAGGGTTCCACATTCTGAAGTGGGGTTTGAACCCACAACCTTCTGACTCAAGAGGCCAGAGTGCTACCAGCTGAGCCAGGCTGACACACAAAAATTAATGTCATTATTATTAACTGAGTCAAAACCCCTTCACCCTGAACAGGGCCGGAAACATCTGTACCTTCATCAGCAATGAGAAAGTGACGAACGCTGTGAGAGGCAGCGCCTCGTTACTCAACAACACCGTGGACGACCTGGGCAGCTTCTTAAACACAATTCCAACTGTGAGTCACTCAGCGTCACTCTCACACCCACTCTACCTCAATACCACTGTCATACCCACAGCCATTCCTACTGTCACTCTCACCCTTTCTGTCACTCTCACCATCAATCTCGCCATCAGTGCCTATTGGTGGGTTTAGCAGCCAATCTTCACTGGTGGTAGCCAATTCTCTATTACACTTCTGGAGTGGGAGTGAGTGAGGTGCCTGGAATTTGAATGAGGGAGGGAGGGGCCTGAAATGGGAGTGAGTGAGGGACCCAGAGTGGAGTGAGGGAAGGAGGGAGGGATGGACCTGTAGAGGAAGGGAGGGAGGGAACGAGCGAGCGAGGGGACTGGAGTTAATGAGTGAGGGAGGGTGGGACCTAGAGTGTGAGGGAGGAAGGGGCCTGGAGTGGGATTGAGTGATGATTAACTCTTCTTATTTCGGGTCTTTGGTGCTGTCTACTTGTAATTTATTTCTCCTATTATTCTTTATCACTTTCCAGCAAATCACAGAAATTACCAACGCCAGCTCCGTCCCAATAAACAAAGTCAGTCACAACCTGGACAGTGAGTATTAACACATTACACACCTCCACCCCACCACCTACACACCTCCACCCTATAGAACACTTTCCTTCTAAGTGAAAGGCCTGGGTTCGATTCCTGGGCAGAGCAAAATGTTGGGCAAGTTTCCTTACTCTACACGCACTCCTCTGTTTTACAGTATATTCTGTGAAGCACTTTGAGACGTCTTGAAGACGTGATAAGACGCTATATCAAATACAAGAATTATTATTATTATATTATTATGTCAGAATCCCATCACACAGAGGATACAGTTCAGGATCCTAGTCCTCACCTTCAAAGCCCTCCATGGTCTTGCTCCTCCCCCTATCTCTGTGACCTCCTAACTCCCTACTCGCTCCCTCCGCTCAGCGGGCTCCAGCCTGCTTCATGTCCCCTGCCTCGCTCGCCCCACTATTGGCAGACGGGCCTTCCACCACTCTGCTCTCACCCTCTGGAACTCCATCCCGCAGTCCCTCTGTCTCGCCCCCTCCCTTGGCACCTTCAAGACCCATCTCAAGACCTTCCTCTTCGATCGTGCTTTCGATTTCCCTCCTTCCCCCCCACCCTCCACATTCCCCGACGCTGACCTCCAGCTCGGGTCTGTATCTCGGTCTGTCCAGTGCCTTGGGACGTCCTCCTGACATGAAAGGTGCTTTACACATGTCATTTTGTTGTTGTTGTTGGGTAGGACTAACTTACACACCACAGGCAATCACACTGATCAGTTCTCCCCCAATGTGAATGTCAGATATCGGTGAGATTCTGGGTGGAGAGGTTCTGCACTCGCTGGGAACGACAATGTATCCGGCGCTAAACTCAGCGTCTCAGCTCGCACAAGGTGAGCGTTACTCTAACCCTGACCTGGGAATGTGGATGGACAGTGTAGAGGAGCTTTACTGTGTCTCTAACCCTGACCTGGGAGTGTGGACGCACAGTGTAGAGGAGCTTTACTGTGTCTCTAACCCTGACCTGGGAGTGTGGACGCACAGTGTAGAGGAGCTTTACTGTGTCTCTAACCCTGACCTGGGAGTGTGGACACACAGTGTAGAGGAGCTTTACTGTGTCTCTAACCCTGACCTGGGAGTGTGGACACACAGTGTAGAGGAGCTTTACTGTGTCTCTAACCCTGACCTGGGAGTGTGGACGCACAGTGTAGAGGAGCTTTACTGTGTCTCTAACCCTGACCTGGGAGTGTGGACACACAGTGTAGAGGGAGCTAAGGTAGTAGAGATAATGTACCTCAGTGTGAGTACAGGGGGCGGGGATACTGGGGGCAGAGTTATGGAGGGCGACGATAGGAGGGAATACGGGGGGCAGGGATACGGGGTGGGTACAGGGATACGGTGGGGGGCAGGGATATGGGGTGGGGAGGGGCAGGGATACGGGGTGGGGCAGGGATATGGGATGGGGGGGCAGGAATACGGGGTGGGGGGGGCAGGGATACGGGGTGCGGGGGGCAGGGATACGGGATGGGGGGCAGGGATGGGGGCAGGGATATGGGAGGAGTGCAGGGATGCGGGGTGCGGGCAGGGATATGGGGTGGGGGCAGGGATGCGGGGTGGGGGCAGGGATATGGGAGGAGTGCAGGGATACGGGGTGGGGGCAGGGATATGGGGTGGGGGCAGGGATGCGGGGTGGGGGCAGGGATATGGGGGGAGTGCAGGGATGCGGGGTGCGGGCAGGGATACGGGGTGGGGGCAGGGATATGGGGGGCAGGGATGCAGAGGTCGACGATAGGAGGGGATACAAAGGGCAGAGTGTGGTTATACGGAGGGCAGAGGGCAGCAGATTATATCACTGTACCAGTCTGTGCTTCACAGATGTGAATGACATCACAAGAAACCTGCAGCTGGTGAGATCAACCTCAGGAACTCTGCAGGTACAGCTGGCGACCGTCACCAGCAACCTGACCGCCATCCAGCAGGAGCTGGACCACACAATCATCAACTGCTCGCCAGCCTGTGACAGCGCCAAGCCTCTCCTCACTGATCTGGTCGTCATCCCTAACTTCAACAAGGTACACAGGGACTCGGGCTACAGTGTCTGAACCCAACATGCACATGCACATACATACATACTCACACACATACACTCACACATGCATGCAAGCACGCACACACAGAAGCACACACTCACACGTATGTACACATGCACCGCACAGGACTAGATTGGAGTGAATTGTTCCCTGTGACCTGCCGTATTCTGTACACATGATGATGGGGTTTCCAGTGAGACTGAAATGATTTACTTTATTGTGACAGATCGCTAACCTGGACCTGATGATACAGAACATGGAGAAAGTCATGAAACTCGAGCTGAATGTGACAGTGCAGAAGGTCTGACAACAACTTGCTCTGACAACAACTTGCATTTATATTGTGCCCTTCATGCTGGGTAGCATCTCAGAGCACTTAGAAGCACCATAGGTTCTTCAAACTGTTTACACTCCCACGAGTCTATTATTCTCTATCATACACCCACAGTCACTCTCACTCTCCCTATGTTGCACACTCTCAGTCCCTCTCTATCTCTGTGTCACGCACTTCCAGTCTCTGTCACTCTATGTCTGTCACTGCTGATCTCTGTCACTCTCTCTCAGGGAGTAACGTATCTCCAGGGCTGAACAGATTCTGTCACGTTGCAAGGCTTAGTTGACCAGCGTGGCCAGCTCGGAGGTATAGAGGCTTGTCCTCAACTCTGTGAGCCACAGTGTCAGCTGGATAAACCCTGGGAGGTTACTCGCTCCCTGTTTGTACACTTCATTAGCCCCTTGTGATTATAGCTATCTAGTATTTGTGTAAATGGCTTTCCTTTGCCACGAGTGTCAGCCTGGCTCTGTTGCCCTCTCACCATTGGGGCAGAATGTCATGGGTTAAAGCCCCATGTCATAACTTAGAGCTCCCGGGTCAGGCTGATGCCCCAGTGCAGTGTTGGAGGTGTGCCGCATAGTCAGAATTGCCGACCTTCAGGTGAAACATTAAATCGAGGTCCTGTCTGTGCCTGGTCAGGTGTCATTAAAGCTCCCAGTCAGTGTCTGGGAAAGAGAAGGGAGTTTCTCTCTCCCAGTGTCCTGGATGACAATCTACCAGATAATTCGGCCATTCACATCATGGCTGTTTGTGGCACCTTCCTGTGTGCAAAATGGCTGCTGCATTTGCCTACAACTCACTTGCCAAATATACAGTGTTTTGATATTCTAGGTGTTTACACCAAATACAATATTAATATTGATAAAGTAAAACTCACTGATTATTCTTTATCGATACTCACCCGAATGTTTATTCTTTTCCAGGGATACAAAGCTTTCAATGACACGCCAGCCCTGATAACCAACCAGTCAGCCACTACAGTAGTCGGTACGTCCAGCCCATCACAGCCAACCAAACACAGGCAGACAGACAGTCTGAGGAACCTCACACTCTGAGTAACATGACCAGTTTCACCCACAAAATACAGTCACTACACTTTACAGTATATTCTGTGAAGTTCTTGGAAACGTCTTGAAGACGTAATAAAGCACTGTATCAAATGCAAGGATTATTATTATTTATGTTATGTGTGGGCCTTAGAATTGGGTTATTCCGGGCAAGTGTGTGAGTTCTCTGGGTAATGTCTACTCTTTGCACCAACACATTCCCAGTCTGTGAGGGTTGGCTCTCACTGTCCCCCTTTCTCCTCTCGCATTGGGCAGAAGTGAAGGAGAAACTGAAGAACATCGAACAGCAGATAAACAGCCTCACCCAGGACATACCCGTGTTCGATGTCGTTAACTCAGTCAACTCCGAGCTCAACAAGATTGTCTTCTATCTGAATGAATACCTTCCAAAGGTAGAGGAGATCAACCTGTACAGGTGAGGGCTTCTCATAAAACCTCTGCCCCCTTCAGCCTCTCTGCCCCCACTCTTTGGAACTCCATCCCATAATCCCTTCCCCTCACTCCCTCTCTTGCCTCCTTCAAGGCATGACTCAAGACCCTTCTTTTTCACCGTGCCTTCAGCCGCCCTCCTAGCCCCTCTGCCCTCCCTCATCCCAACCCTGCCCCCCCCACACTTTGGTCCTGATCCCTGACTGGCCTGCGCCTTGGCATGTCCTCCCAACATGAAAGGCACTTTACAAATATAATTTTGTTGTTGTTAAAGCCACCCTCATGCACCCAGCTTGATATACCCCACAAGCCCCTCATATTGTGGAGTCCTGTAGCTCAGTGGTTAGAGCATTCGCAAGTGAGAAGACCTGGGTTTGATTCCCAGGCAGGGCGAAATGTTGGGCAAGTTTCCCTACTCCATAGGAACCTGGTTGTTAGTCGATTGGCGGATCACTCTTCTGGGGGTAATAATCCCTTCAAAAAAAAATTGGTCACTCAATCCACGACTGTTTGTGGGACGCTGCTGTGCGCAATTGGCTGCTGTGTTTCCCCCACAAAATATACAGTCAATTCACTCTACAGTGCATTCTGTGAAGCGCTTTGAGACGTCTTGAAGACATGATAAGGCGTTGTGTCGAATGCAAGGACTATCATTATTCCTGTGTTTAGGTGGATTGCTGGCATCGTGCTTTGCTGTATAATTCTCCTGGTTTTGCTACTTAACTACCTCGGCCTCCTGCTGGGAACCCTGGGCATCAAACGCAACGTGAACCCCACCAAACGCAGCTGCACAGCCAACTGCGGAGGGCAGCTCTTAATGTCGTGAGTAGCCATCTCCAATTCTCTTCTCCTGTAGTATACAAGCTGCCCTGGGGACACAACAGAGCTCTCTTCCTGACCATCATTGTCTCTCTCTCTGGTGCCTCATCTCCCAGGAGTTGAGATCAAGGTCCTTGGCAATACTCGGCTGGCACTGCTCCCCACACTCCCTCTTGTGCTGTCACTGACCTGAGAGTGTGGACAGACAGTGTAGAGGAGCTTTACTGTGTCTCTAACCCTGACCTGGGAGTGTGGACACACAGTGTAGAGGAGCTTTACTGTGTCTCTAACCCTGACCTGGGAGTGTGGACACACAGTGTAGAGGAGCTTTACTGTGTCTCTAACCCTGACCTGGGAGTGTGGACACACAGTGTAGAGGAGCTTTACTAGTGGAGTCCTGTAGCTCAGTGGTTAGAGCACTCGCTTTGCAAGTGAGAGACCTGAGTTCAATTCCAGGCAGAGAGCCAAACCTTGGGCAAGTTTCCTTACTCCACACAGAGCCTAATAATAATCCCTCCAAAACCAAAAACAATAATAAATTGGTCATTTTCAATCTACGACGGTTTGTGGGACATTGCTGTGCGCAATTGGCTGCCGCGTTCGCCCACAAATATACAGTCAATTCACTTTACAGTGTGTTCTGTGAAGCGCTTTGGGACGTCCTCCCGACGTGAAAAGCGCTATATCAAATGCAAGGATTATTATTATTATTATTACTGTGTCTCTAACCCTGACCTGGGAGTGTGGACACACAGTGTAGAGGAGCTTTACTGTGTCTCTAACCCTGACCTGGGAGTGTGGATGGACAGTGTAGAGGGAGCTTTACTGTGGGTCTATCCCATGGTGTACTGCACTGTGCGATACATATGTGTGATTGGACAGTGACATTGAGAGTCTATTAGACCTAAACCCCCTGAGAGGGGCTGTGCAGCTCCTTGTGTTAAAGCTGCCCTGACCGGCAGCCGCTACCCGTGTGCAGTGACTGGGTGACTTGTGTATCCAAGCTCCTTGTGACTCTGTTTGTTTGTTTCTCAGTGGAGTCGGCTTAAGCTTCATCTTCTCCTGGATCCTGATGATCCTGATCTTCATCCTGTTCTTCGTGGGGGGCAATATATATTCTCTGATCTGCAAACCGTGGAACAGCCAGGAACTCCTCCAGGTAACCCCATTCCCCGGTCACTGGACTCACAGAGCCTTCGAGGACAGTCAGGCTGTTCTGCGGTGATGGTGTTTTTCTCCACATTTTCACAAACTAGCCCCGCTCACTCTCTCCCACTCACTCTCTCCCCCGCACCCCCCCACCAACCGCATCCCCTGTCCTTCTCTTCAAACATCCATCTAATTCCCTTTTAAAGAAATTGTCTCAACCACAGTCTGTGGCAGAGAATTCCACATTCCTATCATCCTGTAGCTCAGTGGTTAGAGCACTCCAGCGAGAGGACTTGGGTTTGATTCTTGGGCAGGGCGAAATGTTAGGTAAGTTTCCTTACTCCATATGTCTCTGTTTTCCTAACAGTAAGTAGGAACCCGGTTGTTAATCCATTGGCGGATCACTGTTCCAGGGATAATTCCTTTTTAAAAAAAATAATTTGGTCACATTAATTCTTGGCTGTTTGTGGGACGCTGCTGTGTGCAATTGGCTGCCACGTTTCGCCCACAAATTATACAGTCAATTCACTTTACAGTATATTCTGTGAAGCGCTTTGAGACGTCTCGAAGATGTAATAAGGCGCTATATCAAATGTAAGGATTATTATTATTATTATCCTGTGTTTAAAGAAATGTGAACCTCCCCTTTAATCCTCTGCGTGCGGACTGACTGATTCACCGACCAACAAAAATACTCTATTCCTGTTTTAAGAAAGCAATAATGAACGTAAATGAGCGAACATTAAATATAGAAAAGAAACTCTCTTTCCTCAAACCGCAAGATGTGATTTGGGAATATTCTCGTGACTGAGTGACAACAGCAGCTTTCGGCACTCAGTTGGGACGTTATATTCTGAGGTGTGGAAGTACCTCATTCACACCACCAGGTGGCAGTCTGGGCCGTGTTACAGAGTCCTGTCGTGGTTCGACAGTGTTTAAATACAGTGTATATTCAAATACAGTGTATTTTCTTCAGGAATAATAATAATTATAATATAATAATTTGACACAGAGCCTTATCACTTCCTCGAGGCGTCTCAAAGCGCTTCACAGAACACACTGTAAAGTGAATTGCTGTATATGTTGTGGGCAAAACACGGCAGCCAATTGCGCGCAGCAACGTCCCACAAACAGTTGTGAATGGAGTGGCCAAATTATTATTATCATTATTGTGTTTTTTTAAGCGATTATTACTCCTGGAAAAGCAATCTGCCAGTCGACTAACAAGTGGGTTCCTACATCGTGCTGGGTGACCAGAAGCATATGGAAACTTGCCCAAAGTTTTGCCCTTCCCGGGACCCAGGTCTTCTCGCTTGCTAGGAGAGCGTCTAACCACTATGCGACAGGACTCTGTACACACATGAGCCAGCACTGACTGAGACACTCACGCTGAGATCTTTGCTTTGTGTTACAGTTTATAGACACTCCAGGAGTCATCCCCAACTTCAACCTGGCAGAGACACTCGGACTCCAAAACGTGACCCTGAACATCTCCAGTATTTACAAGTTAGTGAGATCTCCAGAGCTGCCGTAGGATTGTGTCACTGAGAGCTTTGCCCCTCGACCGATCAGACACAGTGTATTGGCTACACTGCGATTAATAGCACATCTGCGATGTGTATCCGAATCACCGTCTGGTAAACAGTGGATCAGACCATTGTGCGCTTGGCCCTACTATGTTCTGCTTCATTGTGGAGTCCTGTAGCTCAGTGGTTAGAGCACTCGCCTCACAAGCGAGAGACCTGGGTTTGATTCCTGGGTAGGATGAAACGCTGGGCAAGTTTACTCACTCCACAACACACCTCTGTTTAACTAGCACCAATCAAGTAACAACCGGGTTCCTACTCACTGCTGGTAAACAGAGGCGTGTGGAGTAAGGAAATTTGCCCAACGTTTTGCCCTGCCCGAGAGTCAAAGTCCTCTCACTTGCGAGGCGAGTGCTCTAACCACTGAGCTACAGAACTCCAACAGAAGTCAAGCTGGTGTTTAGCTGGTGTGACCAGACCCCTGGCTGAGCCGCCCTGGCCTGTGGGGGGGTTGGGGGTGGGAGGGGGTGCTTCTCTCCAGCCTCCCCTCCCCTGACACCTTGACCTTGTGTTCTCAGTGACTGTCGGAACAACACGCCGCTGTGGGCAGCCCTCCATCTCGAGCAGGCTTTTGACCTGGACCAATACCTGAACCTGAGTAAGGTGGGTCAGCTTTCCGCGGCCTAACACTGGCAACAACATCACAACATAAGAGGTTGCTGGCAAAAGAAGATCAATCCAGTTCACCTTCCACCATCCCAGCAGCCACTTGACATGTCGTGTCCCAAACTATATACTGTCTTCCCAGATATCATTTCCCAACAAAAATCTATCCCATTTCCTCTTGAACAAATCAACACTTTGATGTGTATCTGTCCCACACTCTCTCTCTCTCTGTGTTCCACACTCTCTCTCTCTCTCTGTCCCACACTCTCTCTCTCTCTCTGTCCCACACATTCGCTCTCTCTCTCTCTGTCCCACACACTCACCGCTCTCTGTCCCACACACTCACCGCTCTCTGTCCCACATGTTTTCTGATCTCATCTTTAACAGAATTGTTTGTCTTGTATTTCAGTACAAGGAGGAAATCAATAAAACCTTTGATAAGATGGATGTGGATTTATCCGGGATCACTTTACTGAACTCCGAGGGGAAGGAGGCCCTGACAAACCTGTCCAAGGCTGGCCTGAGTAGCTTGAACTTCACCAGCATGGCTGAACAGGTCAGACTCTCTGCACACATTCCCCTTCCCATGGCTCAGTGGTGAGGTACAGTTGCAGTTCACACAGGCCTCTGCTTCCATCCTAGTGTGGCTGAGTTACTGCTCTCAATGGGAGGAGGATTAGGGACTGGGACAACAACAACAAAATTACATTTGTATAGCACCTTTCACGTCTGGAGGACGTCCCAAGGTGTTGGACAGTTAGTATTTCGGAGCCGAGCTGGCGGTCGGGATTGGGAAGGGTGGAAGGCAGGGGGGGGAAGGAGGGCAATTGAAGGCACGGTTGAAGAGGAGATTCTTGAGATGGGTCTTGAAGGGGACAGTGAGAGTGTGAGGTGTGATAATGAGGAGTGAGGGTGTGTCACAGTTTGACGTAATGTCAGAAGTACCACAATAATCAGTGTGCGGTGGAGTCCCGCTCCTGGTTAGATGGAGGCTCGAGGACTCCTGATTTCAGGAATGCTGATGGATGTCTTGGTGTGGCAGCCCCTGCAGCCTGTTTCTCTCATAACGCTCTGTTCTGATCTGCAGCTCAAGCAGCCTGTCACCCGGGGAGACCTGCAGGAGGCTGCCAATCAACTGCAGTCGCTCTCATCCAGTATGGTGAGTGACGAGGGGCATGCTGACGATCACCTCCACCCTCCGCCTCTCACCCTCCGCCTCTCACCCTCCGCTCTCACCCTCCGCCTTTCACCTTCCGCCTCTCACCATCCTATTTCCTGAGGTAAAGCTTTCAACATGCACAGACTCAGTCTTTCTGGGATTGATCCAAGCTCTGTGCTGGGTGGCTGCTCTGTGCTGGGTGAATGGTACTTATTGTGTAACGTGTCTAACTATGATCTTCTAGACAGTTTCAGTGAAAGATAAACTGATTGACTTGAGTGAGAGGCTGAGAAAGCTGAACAGCTGGATCATCAGCAACATCCAGCCTAACATGGTGAGTGTCCGCAGGATATCAGAGAACATGAGTTACCTCACACTGACGTTCATATTCCACCTGTACACTAACCAGCTCATCTTAGCCCTTTCAAGACACCAGGTCATCAGTCGTGCCTTTCAGCAGAAGCACAGTGGGCACTGAGTACGGTGTGTGTGAGGTGTGATGTGAGCACACAACCCAGTGAGGGAACCAATGTTAGAGGGACCAGCTGTGAGGAACAAGCATTTTAGCCATGAAAAGAGACATCGGAGGGGATCTCATGAAGGTAGTTAAGACTCTAAATGGCACTGAGTGTGAAACCCCGAACAATAACCTCAGAATCCAAGGTGTGAAGAGCAGGTTTGGGACAGTGTAGAGGGAGTGTTCTGTGTATGTGGGACTGTGGATGGACAGTGTAGAAGGAGTGTTCTGTGTATGTTGGAGTGTGGATGGACAGTGTAAAAGGGGTGTTCTGTGTATGTGGGAGTGTGGATGGACAGTGTAGAGGGAGTGTTCTGTGTATGTGGCAGTGCTGAATGGGTAAAGGTTTCAGGATTATCTAAATATTGACCCAAAATATCACTGTTTCTTTTCACTAAGGTGAGTTTGAACTACAGCGTCCAATACCTGCAGAGAGTGACACCACACACAGAGGTATGGAACACCAACTTCCAGTGGCTTACTTTAGCTACCTTTAGTTACTGACTGACTCTGTCCCATGTGATGAAGGGAGGCATATAGCACAGTGTTTCCTTTCAATTCAACATCTCTCTCTCTCTTCACCACCCACATCTGCCCAGCACTGGATGCTACAGCTGGAGAACAACAACAATGACAACAACTTGTATTTACCAGCATCCCTCACGCAGAACGACATCCCAGAGTGCTTGACAGTGGCGGAGCACAACACTGAGCTGGAGGGAGGGGGGAGGGACTGTAGGCACAGCCGAAGAGGAAAGTCTTCAGACGCGACCTGAATATGGGGAAGGAGGCGGCAAGGCAGACTTCAGAGGAATCTCCAAACCCCAGCCCCAAGTTCTCACTTCATCTCTACACATCATGTCTTTCCCTATTACCTCCCTTGCCCCATCCCTCGCTCCCTCCCTCCCTCCCTCTTCCTCCTACATTCTACAGGATTTTAAACCTTAAGCTTGGTGCCAGCTAACCACTGTTTAAAAGATCTTTTTTTCGATATGTGATAAGAACATAAGAAATAGGAGCAGGAGTCGGCCATTCAGCCCCTCGAGCCTGCCCCGCTATTTAATAAGATCATGGCTGATCTTCTAACCTAATTCCTAATTCTAACCTAACCCACCCTTTCGCCATATCCCTTAATGCCTTTAGTTTTTAACTTAAGTGTCAGACTTTGGTTTCCTTCTCTTTTTCAGAGTACTGCCAGCACTACCTTAAACAGGATTGAGTCTGCGCAGAGTGCTCTCCTCACTGACGCACCGAGCATCATCACAGCTGTGAGTACGATATTCTGAGTTGTGAGACCCACCAGAAGAAAAGTCATCAAATCACAGGGTGGAGATGGACACTTTGCCCGGCTCTGTAACCTTCTCCACACTGGCCTCCCACCCTCGCTGTGCAGTCTCCTCAGCTCCTACTGTCTGCTTCACCGAACGTGCTCTGGTGCTCACTACTGACTCCCTTCCCTGTTACACTATCGGTGACTGAACCTTCACACAACAACAACTGGCACTGATGTAGTTAGTGCCCTTCATGTAGGACAATGTCTCCGAGCCCTGATGCCCTGCACTAAACTCCTGAGCTAATCACCCCCATGGGAGTGTGAGGGGGTGGGCAGGGAGTATGAGGGGGTGGGCAGGTAGTGTGAGGGGGTGGGTAGGGAGTGTGAGGGGCTGGGCAGGGAGTGTGAGGGGGTGGGCAGGGAATGCGAGGCTTTGGCACCATTCGGGTACAAACTGCACACTTGCCGCTCAGTCACAATCAACTCTGTTACAAATAAAAGCAAAACCGCTCTCTCTCTCTCTCTCCCTGTGTCTGTCTGCAGGAGACCAGCTTCTTCCTGGACTGCCAGCTGGATTACTTTGATCAGTATCTGCAGTGGACGAGGACAGCGGTGAGGCCTGTGCGCGGGGAAATGTCTTCATTCAGGACTGAGTGTCACTCGAAGCTCAGCTTAAGGAGGGGCAGACCCTGAGCCTGACCTCACGACATTACCCACAAACAGTGTCAGTCTGCACTCACTGTGCTAATGTGGTCAGAAGGTTCTGAGTTGAAGCCCCATGTCAGGACTTTGAGCTCACAGTCCAGCAAAAACTGTGTAATTTCCTGGTCTGTGCAGAGCAGACATTCCTCAGTAACCCGTCATCTCATTTGCTGCAGATCACTCAGGAGATGGCTCAATGCCTTCCCGCTGCTGACGCGATCGACGCCACTGAGACTATTGCCTGTACTTACATCGTGAACTCGCTGGTAAGAGATACACTGCAGGAGGAGAGGGAACTGGCACAGTGAGACCTTCCAATAAACCCCACACGGATGGGTAGTGCAGAGACTGCGTACCTCGGTCTCTAACCTGAGCTGTCACTGACCTGGGAGTGTGGACACACAGTGTAGAGGAGCTTTACTGTGTCTCTAAACCTGACCTGGATTTGGATGAGTGACTTTGTGTGTTGTCTCTTGTAGAATGCCTTCTGGTTCAGCCTGGGCTGGTGCACAATATTTTTCATCCCGAGCATCATATTGGCCGTGATGCTGGCAAAATATTACCGGCGGATGGACATGGCCGACGATTACGAGTGAGTGGACAACGGAAATCAGAGGAACCAGCACTACACACATGGCATTTTCTATAACTGAATGTTAGAGAGGAACTCCAGCCCAATCCCCTGACAATATGCTGCCTCGCACTGAGCCCAACAGCTCAGAAATCCCCATCTGTGCCGAGTGGCTGATCTCAGCCCCGCTCTGTGTGTTACTGATCTCAGCCCCGCTCTGTGCTGAGTGGCTGATCTCAGATAGAAAAACAATTTGCTGTTTATGTAACATGGGTCTCAAATCCATAACCTCCGACGCAGAGGCGAGAGCAGTACTGACTGACCACCACACCAGGAAACTCACTGTCTTTCTCCTTTTCTTTCCCTTTTAGGTATGAGGGCAGCAACATGGAGCTGTAAGTACAGAAAGACACCAGCACAATGTGCTGATGAGGTGATCTTAGTGTCATAGTGGGTGTGAGGAGAGGGTGGGCTTTGTGTGGTAGTGGGTGTGAGGAGAGGGTGGGCTTTGTGTGGTAGTGGGCGTGAGGAGAGGGTGGGCTTTGTGTGGTCGTGGGTGTGATTAGTTTCTGTAGCCCTTTTTCAACATCTAGAAACACTTTACACTAATTATTCTGGGATTGTTGGCCAGGACACTGGGAGAAACTCCCTTCCCTTCCAATAGGGCAGGCAGACGCTGGCTGGGGAGTCTGTCTACACAGCTCTGTGCAGGAACCTCAGCCTGGCCCGTGAGCTCAGAGCCCTAACACGGAGCTTGAAGGTACAATTTTCTTCAAGCCAAAGACAGGTCTGTGCCGGTGGCTGCTGAGGGTTGCACTGTGTGTTGGGACATTCCCAGTGGGGAGCGTAGGTTGTTTGGTGCTCAGCCTCCCTGTGCACCAAAGAACCAGCCCATTAGAACCATTATTAATCCATTATACACCCTATGTCTGACCAACCCACTGTGCCACTCCCTGCCAATCCCTGACCTGTGCTTCCTGAAGAGGCACCTGTTGAGGGAGGAAGGTACTGGCAGCCTGTACTGTTGCTCCCTGTCACACACCGAGCAGGTGTGAGCCAGGCCTCAGGAGGATACGGTGACTCAGACAGAATGAGGGTTATCCATCTGCCTGTCAGTGTGTCACTGCGCAGCTCAGTGAGTACATTGTTTGGTAACTATGAAAACAAATGAGAATTTTGTTGCTCCTTTGATTCAGGGTGGCATCTCAACCAGCACCAGCATTTAAGTTTCCTCGAGCCAATGTCTACAATTAAAGAGGTGTTGGAGGTTGGAGGCTGGAGATTGGATATCGTGTTCTCCCTCTGGTGTCTGTGTGTGTGTGTGTGTGGGTGAATTGCTGGAATTCTTTATACCTCAGCCGCTGTTGTGATCTGACACAGGAGTTGGTTTGGCCAGAGACTTGTTGGGAAAAATCCCTCAATATTGCACTTTCCTTGGGAAGCTCAATGAAGATTTCACTACCTTTTCTCTCTCAAAAAATACTGATAATTGTTCATAAACCAAACACGAAGGGGCAGTGTTACCACAATATAATTTACAATTAACATTTGTACGGCACCTTTCATGTCGCGAGGACGTCTCAACAAAAACAAAGCTGGCTGGGCTGGGGCCAAGGGTGGGGGCACGGAGGGTGTGGGAGCGCGTCGGAGAGGTGGGAGTGGTAAGATGACCGAAGGCGTGGTCAAAGAGGTCCGTTTTGAAAATACACACGCCTCACGACAACTCTTGCGACATAATGCACAGATGGCACTGGGAACGTTCTACATGTGACTCGGGTGGGAACGATTTAATGGGCAGACGCTGTCCCTTTAACCACGCACAGTTTATGGTCTGTAGATGATTTCAGTGATTGATATTTTGCAAAATACCAAAAAATCAACTCTTATATTAAATTAACGTCTCCTTTCAGAAAAGCTCTCCTGTTTCTCATTCCATTCACTGTGGTGAGTGAGACTCTATCCTTGGGCCCAAACTTCCGGCTGAGGCCCAAACAGAGAGGGAGAGGGTAAGAATTCTCCACAACTCGCTCTGGCAGACAGGCTGAGACTATGTGGAATTTAAGGCCTCGGTAGCAGCCCCCCACCTCCCCCCTAAGCTTGTGACCTGCCCAAGATTCCCCGATCTGTGTCACTGGCTGGATGGGAATGAGGAAATCAGTGAGTGAGTGTTGTTGTGATCCACCCTTATACTCACTCACTCACTCACTGTCAGGCTGGAGTTCCACAGACAGAAAAGGAGAGAGCAAACTAAATATATACATCAACCCTCCCACCCCCTCAGAAAGGTCCCCCTCTCCGGCCTGTGTGTTTCATGATATTTCAAGATATTTAATGTTAATGAGTCCATTATTCAGATGGAAGGAGCATCAGCAAGACAGCATGTGACTGATCACACAGCGCAGCCTCACGGAGCTCCCTCAGGCCTCCAGATAAAACATTCCAGCAGCAACAGAGTAAGGGCTCTATTCCCACCGCAGGCTGGGGTGAACAACAACAACAACACATTACTTTTACACAGAGCCTTTCACGTCGGGAGGACGTCCGAAGGCACTGGACAGTCAGAGATTTGGAACCGAGCTGGGGGTTGGGATCACAAGGGGTGGAGGGCAGGGAGGGTAGGGGTAAGAGGGTGACTGAAAAGGACGGTCTTGAGATGTGCCTTGAAGGAGGCAAGGGAGGGAGCGAAGCGGAGGGACTGTGGGGTGGAGTTCCAGAGGGTGGGGGCAGAGAGGCTGAAGGTCCAAGCAAGTGTCTGATCCATTTAGTCTCACTTTCCCAACTCCTCCCGGGTTTGGTACGAGAGTTTCACAGGCCCGGAGTGAGGAGAGACTGAGATCCTTTCTGCATTGTTTGTTTCAAGTCAGAGTCCACCTTCCCGACATTAATAATAATCTTTGCATTTGCCACATCCATGCAAGGCAAATACAACTGTGTGGGGGACACTGCTGTGCACAATTGGCTGCCACATTTCGCCCACAAATATACAGACAATTCACTTTACAGTCTATTCTGTGAAGCACTTTCGAGACATCTCGAAGACTTGAAAAGCGCTATATCAAATGCAAGGATTATTATTATTATCTTCGAGAAATCTCAAAGTGCTTCACAGAATAAACTAAAGTGAATTGACCGTATATTTGTGGGCAAAACGTGGCAGCCAATTGTGCACAGCGGTGTCCCACAAACAGTCGTGGATTGGGTGACCAAATTATTTTTTTTAAGGGATTATTACCCCTGGAAAAGCCATGCAGCTGTATATAAACCCCCGAACCACTGAATTAGATTCCAGCCTGTAACTCACTCCCAGGGGGATGTGTTATTCTATATATATCTCTACCAAATCCCCCACACCTCTTGGAGAGATTGTGAAGGCCATATAATATGACGAGCAAGCCTGGCAGTGACAATGAGGTCTGACCGTGAAGGGAAGGTGAGGTATCTGAAGGGTTCCCGAGACGCTATATAAATACAAACTGTTGTTGTATGTTTAAACACAGCCAGGCTGATCAGGTAAGTGGTTGTGAAGGGTGTCAGTGAGCGCTGGCCTGTCCCAGTGAGAGGCAATACACAGAGTCCCAGGATTTACTGTGAAGTGGATTCTGGTCCACAGTTGAGAGTTGCCAAACCTCACAGTCAGGTGTTAATTAAACACACCACTGAATACTGGCCCAATGGTACAATATCTGTCTGTATGTATGAGTGTCTCTCTATGTGTCTCTCCCCGTGTGTAAGCGTGTCCCCCCCGTGTGTAAGCGCGCCCCGTGTGTGTAAGCGCATACCCCGGTGTGTAAGCGCGTCCCCCCGTGTGTAAGCGCGTCCCCCGTGTGTATGCATCCCCGTGTGTAAGCGCGTCCTCGGGTGTAAGCACATCTCCCTGCGTGTAAGCGCATCCCCCCGTGTGTAAGCGCGTCCCCCCCGTGTGTAAGCGCGTCCCCCGTGTGTAAGCGCGTCCCTCCCGTGTGTAAGCGCGTTCCCCCCCGTGTGTAAGCAGGAAGATTCTCTCCAATAGAATGAAAAACAACTTCAAGTGGCTCAGCCGCTGGAGATCTCGTCTCAGAGTCAGGAAGTTCGATCCCTGCTGCGAGGGCCCTGAGCTCCCAGTCCAGCCGGTCACTCCAGCACACTACTGGGGCAGCGGAACAGGTGAAACATTGGAATGATGTCCTATTTGTACCTGTTCAGGTGAACATTAAAGACACGAGTGGAAAACAGAAGAGATTGTGGGCCTTGTGTCCGGGCTGACAACCCCCAAATAAATTGCTTAAAAACTTTGTTGCTTTGCACAAAATGGCCGGTAGCATTTACCGATACCAGAAACAGTCACTACACTGGACCCCAATACTCAGTGCAGCACTTTCAGATGTTTGACATTCTGGGCAACAACAAGGAAGCAGCTGGTAAAGGGGCCAAGGTGAAGGTTGCACATGTGTTGTCTGCCATCACATGGCATAAACAAGGCCAGTGAGGCCATGTGGTAACTAACCCCACGACTCTATCACAATGGTTGGGCCCAGTGACCTCCAGGAGGGAACGAGGCGGCTGCCAGGGAGCGAAGGAACGACTCACTGAGAAGAGGGAATGTGATATGAGAGGGAAGGAAGTGATAATGGCGCAGTGTTTACAGTAGAACATTGTTAGACCAGTCGTTTAATGAGTTGGAATGAAGTTCACGAGCCCCTAATTACAGAACAGAGTGAATGTCAGTGCGAATGGAGCCCAGATTCCACATCCTTCATTACATTACCCTCGGCCTCGCAACAAGTAGCCGGGATAATGAAAGCTGTGTGACCGAATTAGTGACCGAGACAACTGCACAGCGAAGAGGAGCCTCCTGACTCGCATGGTCTGTGACAACTCATGGAACATTCCAGACCCTCGACCCTTCCAGTGCACACTGACTGTTTTCTGTGCACGAGTTGCCGACTCTAATGCCACTCTCTCTCCCCACACCCACACGGTGTAGCGTGGTGGACAGCGAGCTTGCTTCACAGGCAAAAACCCCAATTGACATTTTGTCATAATGAAAGTTAATAATAATAATCTTTGCGTTTGATATCACGTCTTTGAGACGTCTCAAAGCGCTTCACACAATATACTGGAAGTGTAGTGGCTGTATATTTTGTGGGTGAAACACGGAAGCCAATTGCACGCAGCAGTGTCCCACAAACAGTCATGGATTGAGTGACGGAAAAACGATCCGCCAACCAACTGACAACCAGGTTCCTACTTGCTGTTGGAGTGAAGACACGTGTGGAGTGAAGACACTTCCCATGTTTTGTCCTGCCCAGGAATTGAACCCATGTCCTCTTGCTTGCGAGGCGAGTGTTCTAACCACAAAGCTACAGGACTCAAGTTAAAAACAAACAAAAGTGATATTGACAATATCCTTGAGTTTATTGGGAGATTCTGTGCCTGAGCAGCTCCGACCTGCACAAGTGTCAACACTTCAGCCCTGGTCCTGACTTCATAACCATCCTGTTTATACACACCCTGAGATTGGGGGACGTACCCCAGCGAGTCATTGGACGCACACTTCCCCAGAAACCAGAATTTCTCAGGGTCTTAGCCTCACTCTCTTCAAGCGATAAGGAACAGAACCCTGGCTGACATTCCCCCCTCCCTCTCCCAGGGTCACTGAGACCAACTGCAGCTCTGTGCAGTGACTGACTGACTGGCTGACTCCCTGCTTCTCTCTCACTCCAGGACCTGATCTGGGCAAACAAGCCTCATGTCAGTGCCTTGGGGGAAAAAGAGTGTGACGGATGGGGAGAGAGAGAGTGTGAGATGGGGAGAGAGTGAGTGTAACAGACAGGGGGAGAGAGAGAGTGACAGACAGGGGGAGAGAGAGTGTGTGACAGACAGGGGGAGAGAATGTGACACACAGGGGAGAGGACAGGCTGGGCAGACGAGCTATTATCCAGGTTACAGTGAGAGACACACACACGGTGTGGCTCACAGGGAATCTCTGCATTGTTTAATGCTCTCAGTCTCAGAGCAGGAACCATCTGTCACACGCCAGGCAACGGGAGCCACAACTACAGAACGCAAACACCGCCCCCACAGTGTCCGTCCGGACCCCAACACTAAGCTCTCCAGGGTACTCCAGGGCAAGTGATACAGCAACAAGTCTCAAAGAGTAAAGTCTTTCACAATACAACAGCTCTCGTTCGCCTTCCTTCCTCCATCTCCGTCTCCTCAAGGCCTAGGATTCTGCCAAGTTGTCTCAAAACACTTAAGACAGTTCAGAATTCAGACAAATCCTTACATTTGGATTTTAAAAAGGAAACTGGTGTCAGAATCCACATTGGCCTGAGGAATTTCCCAGATAAATTGTAAGAAGGAACCGTCTAACAGGCTGAGATCGGGTGGAATTTCAGTTTCTCTGTCCCTCCGGAGATGTTGAGCGAGGAGCCTTCTTCCTTGCTCCCTGCCCGGGGGGTGGGGGGTGGGGGGTGGGGGAGCAGGAGTGTGTCCAAGAAGAAATACCTGGATTAAAAGAAGAGAAGCTTTGGGAATTTCCGTTGACTGCAGACAGCCACCACAGTGACCTTCAACGTCACCTCATCTCAAACACAACGAGAAGTTCTCTCACCTCCGACCCCAGAGCAAAAAGTGCAAAAAAACAACCTCTGGATGTCCCAGCGCTCGGTGTCCACATGGCCTCAGCTGTCACTGAGCGGAGACTGGACTAGTGTCCAGCCCTCGGAAGGGTCTGTGGCCTTTTTCTGCCTAGGGGGTGTGGGCGGGGGGAAGATTAGGGTCTTTAGGCTTGAGTCCGTGCACTGGGCTTCCCATTCCAGCACTCTGGCCAGCAGGGGCCGGAGGAGCCCGACCGTCAGACTCCCCAACTGGGCGGAGTAGGGCCAGATTCAGCCGCCGGATCAGGAATCTCCCTCAGGATGGCGCTTAGTATGTCCACAGCTTTGGTGTCCCGCGGACATAGGTCCCACAGCTGCTCCGCATAGGCATCCAGCGCTCGGTGCCGGGAGAACTCCAGCAGCAGAGAGGTGAAGAGCTCCTTCCTGAGAAGCGGGCTCTGCCGGGAGAAGTTCTCGGCAACCTCCAGCACCTTCGGCCACTGCTCCAGGTCTATGAGGATGCGCACCGCTTGCAGGATAGCGTTGGGTCTCTGGCTGCTTAGCAGGATGGCGACATGGGTCTCGGTGGGCTCCCCCTGGCAGGCTCTGGGCTGAGGGGACGGTGACGGGAGCACGGAGAGAGCTCGCTTGTACAGCGGTGTGTTCTCGGGGCTGTCCTTGCTGGTGTAGCTACGGCCACTGTGGTTCAGCTGCTGCTGCGCCAACTCCACGAACTGCGGCAGCCACTTGGGCCGGAAGCTGTAGAGCGAGCGGCAGATCAGCTCGAAGACAGGAGTAGCTCCGTTAGCCACTTGGGGATCGCTCGGGGGTCCTGGGCTGACCGCGAGCCTCCACATGTCAGCTGTGGCCCGGGCTGACAGCAGCCCATTGACCTTCTGGTGCAGGTTCCACGTTTCCTTGATGGCCTCCCAAGCCTTGCTGGGGAAACTGCTGAATATTGAGTTAAGGTAAGTCAGGTTGTCCCCATCCAGGTCAGTGTGGAGCAGCCTCCCAATCTCCTCCTCCACGAGGCCCTCGCAGTACTGAGAGATCTTACTCTCGGGCGCGTGAACAATACAGGACTTGACCTCCTCCAGGCTGACATAACTCTGGACCTCACCGGCCATGATGCTGCTCAGCTTTGAGAATGTCTCCGGTTTCAGGACGTGAGCGCTCCGCAGCTTCAGCTGACTCTGGAGGATGGAGCACAAGGCAATGGGGGCCTGAAACATCCCCCCTCGCTTCAGCTTCTCCACAGTTAACCGGCTGCTGCTCAGACTCCGCCGCTGGTAATATCTACAGGCCTCCTCCAGGACCATGTGCTCCAGGACCTCTTCTGACCGCCCACTCTCCTGGTAGTTGGAGACCGGCTCCGAGGCAGTGGGAGGTCCCACCGAGTACACCCCGTCCTTGGTGAGCAGTTGGATGGTCCCCGCTTGCTGGAGGGTGACCAGCGCCAAGGACTCGGCGTTGAGGGTAACCTTTTCCATCTTCCTCCCGGTGATGGTGTTGAAGAGGTGGAGAGTCCTGCCAACGGCACAGACCAACGTACCCTGGTGGGCTTCCATCAGCACCTCGGTGCCGGGGGCCAAACTCTCGCCCAAGGAACAGACGCGGCTCACGGCGCCATTACCCCGGATCCAAGTAACCTCCCCGCAGGCCCTCGCCAACAAGAGACCCCCCAGTGAGGCACAGGGGGTCACCGTGTGGACATCCAAGGAGGGGAGAGAAGCCAAGATCCCAACAACGTCAGCCACCAGCCTCCGGAAATCGGACTCACCGGGGAGCAGGGTCTTGGCAGAGAGAGGTCCCTGTGTTGGTGATGTGATGGTCAGTGTGTGGGCCCCGGGCGCCCAGATCAGGATACACCTGGTCAGGTTGGACTCACCGCTCTGCGGGTTGGTGGGGACCAGGTAGACCAGGTCCCCGGAGGAGATGACCCGGAAGGTGGGGCTGTTGTGAAGGACGATGCTGATGGCGCCCAGGCTCACCCTGGCCCGGCCCACCGCTATGGCCCTCCTGCACACACAATATTGGTGCAGGTTCCTGCCGGGGGACGGGTGCACCCCGGACGGGGGTCTCTCCTCGCACCAGATGACGGACTGCCCATCGCCGGCCACCGAGACCACTCTGGCCCGGGGGCTGTTGCACAAGTCCACGCTCTGCACCAACTCCCACCCTCGGCTGTCGCTATCCCGCCAGACCTCCGCCCTCCCCCGGGGGGTGACCAGAGTGGCCAGACTGGCGCCGTGGGGCTGGAGACCGGGGCCCAGGAGGAGGATGTCCAGCAGCTCCTCGTCCTGACTGAAGCGCGTGTCCAGCGGTCGGGGCGCCTGACCGGGCACTCGGTGACCGTCGAAGGTCAGGAGTTTGCGCTCCGCGGTCAGATACACACACAGGTGTTTGAGGTCGGCGCTGCACTTGATGCGCTGCGCTCCCGAGAGGACCCGCAGCAGCTGCTGGTGACGGCTGAAGTGACTGAGGTCCGAGACCCGACACAGGAGGGAGCAGCGCTGCATATCCGCACTCGCCGCTCTCCCGCTTACCCGCACTCTGCCGCCCACCCGCCCGCTTACCCGCACTCTGCCGCCCTCCCGCCCGCCCGCCCACCCGCACTCTGCCGCCCACCCGCCCGCTTACCCGCACTCTGCCGCCCGCAGCCGATGCCCCAACATCCGCACTTTGAGCCCCGGCCTCTGCCTCACTCCACAGCCGTCACTTCCGCGGCAGATACTCACTCACTCACTGACCTACTCACAGGGAAGTGCCGTGTGTGTTACAGAGAGAGACCCCCCCCCCCCCCCACACACACTGCCAACCCCCCCCACACACTGCCACCCCCCCACACACACTGCCACCCCCACACACACACTGCCACCCCCCCCACACACACTGCCACCCCCCCCACACACTGCCACCCCCCCACACACTGCCACCCCCCCCACACTGCCACCCCCCCACACACTGCCACCCCCCCACACACACTGCCAACCCCCCCACACACACTGCCAACCCCCCCCCACACACACACTGCCACCCCCACACACACACACACTGCCACCCCCCCCACACACTGCCAACCCCCCACACACTGCCACCCCCCCACACACACTGACACCCCCCCCCACACACTGCCACCCCCCCACACACACTGACACCCGCCCCCCACACACTGCCACCCCCCACACACACTGCCACCCCCCCCACACACACTGACACCCCCCCCCACACACTGCCATCCCCCCACACACTGCCACCCCCCCACACACACTGACACCCCCCCCACACACTGCCACCCCCCCCACACACTGCCAACCCCCCCCACACACACACTGCCACCCCCCCACACACACACACACTGCCACCCCCCCACACACTGCCACCCCCCCCCCCACACACTGCCACCCCCCCACACACACACACTGCCACCCCCCCCACACACACACTCACTGCCACACAGGGCTGCTCTGTGGTTTACAGTAGATCAGTGTTTCCAGTCTCCAACAGATCTCCGAATCTAGAGACTGGTCAGTGTCTGATTTGGAGACCAGTCACTGGGGGCAGAGAATCCGCCCCCTCAGCTCCTGCAGCCAAAGCCCTCACAGATAGGGGGGTCGGAGCTGGACAAACAGCAGGAAGCTGACAGACAGCATATCACACTGTGCATCTTGACAACCTGCGCCTAATACTCTGCGGAATTAGGTAAGCAGGATGTCTCCCTCCAGAGAGAGAGAGCGAGTGCGCATTCCTTCCCAACAATCTAATTGGGGACTTTCCGTATACAGTAAACTTCCGGGTAACCGGATTCAACCCTTGCAGGACCTGACCTGAAAATGAAACATTAAAAAAAATTCTGCGGGCCCCAAATTTCCACGGACAAGTGCCGGCTCCGCCAACCCACATGGCGCCCATGGCTTCCCGCCTTCCCATCCTTCAATGTCCCCGTGTCGGCTTCTTTGTGTTTGTGTTACCCTCCGACACTAACCGTCCGCTGATTTGCTTAGCGAGGTTGGAATCCCGCCAACGGACAATGACAATAACTTTCTGACGTGAAGGCCGCCATACGAGTGTAATTTGTTGTTGTTTATACAGCGCCCCTCATGATTGAGAAGTAACATACAGGGCATTCCCGCATAAAAAACCGCAGCAACAAACATTGCTGGTAAATGCATTATAATGACACTTCCGAAATTCTGGCTCGGTGGTGGGTGGTGGTGGTGGGGGTTACTGTGTAGGTGTATGGCACTCAGTGTGGTTTGGAGACTTTGAGCCCAGTGATGGAGTGAGTGATGGGTTCCCACATGTGTCAGACACACACACACACACACACACACACAACAGCTGGGCAACGACTACACACTGGAGCAGCGGGGCATTGTGGGAAATGGAGGCGCTGGGCAGGTGGAGCGGGGCATTGTGGGAAATGGAGGCGCTGGGCAGGTGGAGCGGGGCATTGTGGGGTGTTGGAGGCTGAGCTGGAGCAGCGGGGCACTGTGGGAAATGGAGGCTGAGCTGGAGGAGCGGGGCATTGTGGGAAACGGAGGCGCTGGGCTGGTGGAGCGGGGCATTGTGGGGTGTTGGAGGACCCGGGGATTGTGGGACGCTGGAGGACCCGGGCAGTGTCTGGCGGGTGGGAGGCCGCTGACGGGAATGGCTGTGACAGGTGAGCGGCGCCGTTGCGGTCTCTGACAGGACAGCGACCCCCATAGCGCGGGCGGGCGGGCGGCGTCTCCCTCCGGCAGGAAAGGCCGGGGATTGGGAGCAGCAACGGCCTCAGCAACAGGCCCCGAACCCCCGGCACAGCCTCGGCCCCGCCCCAGAGCCGCCCACAGACTCGCGCCGTCACAACAACAACAGCAACAATCCCGGCGTTTGACCCGCGCCTCGTCACGTGCTCCAGGCGTCTCAAAGCGCTTCACAGGGTACACCGCAAAGTGTAGTGACTGCGCACTTGTGGGTGAACCGCGGCCGCCGATCGCGGGCAGCGGTGTCCCCGCCAACAGCCGCGGGTTCAGTGACCACATTATTGCTGTTATTATTTTGAAGGGATTATTAGCCCCAGAAAGCGATCCCCGGATCGATGTGCGATAACCAGAGACCGTGGAGTGCGTTACGGTGTCCCCGGCGCGGGGTCGAGCCCCGGTCCTCCCGCAGTAACCGCTGAGCCACAGCCTCAGCACTCGCGGCGTAGTCAGTGAAGCCATTTCAGACATCTCGACCGCATTCTGTCCTCTCGACGCCTCTGTCCGTCCGGTGTTTCCTGCCCAGTGCTCACCCCCCACTCCCCACGGTCAGACCTGATCTCTGGACCTCTCACAAACTCCTTTTCATTCCACTCTCTACAGTATATCCTGTGAAGCGCTTTGAGACGTCTCGAAAACGTGATAAAGCGCTGTGTCAGATGCCGGGATTACTGTGTTAGAATAATCCTCAAATTTGATATCTCCCAATTTTGCAAGGACACGGGGGGCTGGGGGGGCGCGCGGGGCTGGGGGGGCGCGGGGCTGGGGGGGGCGCAGGGCTGGGGGGGCGCGGGGCTGGGGGGGCGCGGGGCTGGGGGGGCGCGGGGCTGGAGGGGCGCGGGGCTGGGGGGGCGCGGGGCGGGGAGGGCACGGGGCGGGGCTGGGGGGGCGCGGGGCTGGGGGGCGCGGGGCGGGGGAGGGCACGGGGCGGGGCTGGGGGGGCGCGGGGCTGGAGGGGGCACGGGGCGGGGCTGGGGGGGCGCGGGGCTGGGGGGGCGCGGGGCTGGCGCGCGGGGCTGGGGGGGCGCGGGGCGGGGGAGGGCGCGGGGCGGGTGGCTCGGGGGGCGGGGCTGGGGGGGGCGGGGCTCAGGGGGGCGCGGGGCTGAGGGAGGGCGGGGGGGGGCGCGGGGCGGGTGGCTCGGGGGGCGGGGCTGGGGAAACGCTATATTGTTGGAAATGCTGTCGGATGAGACATTAAACCTCAAATTGTTTTTATAATGAATCCTGGTGCTTTCGGTGTGGATGCGCTCTCAGTGTCTCCCCCACTGACAGTCTCCCTGTTACAGACACCACAACATGGCGCAGGTAGAGAAGAAAGTGGGGCTTCTCCGCAAAGCCTCCTCCAGCCGAAAGCCTCTGAAGGAGAAAGTGGTGTTAATGTACGATGAGATCTTCAAGGTAAGATTCCACACGTCACTACCTCTGCTGTTTGATATGGCCGTCAGTGTCCATCCTCTTCATGCTGCCCAGAGTTATAACAGCTTCCTATATATCCAGCAGTATGTGTAACAGCTTTATATATACCCAGCACTGTATAACAGCTTCCTATATACCCAATACTGTGTGCAACAGCTTCCCGTATACCCAGCACTGTGTTATATAAATGCAAGTTGTTGTTATACTGTGTTGTATATACTGCACACCGTGCCTGTCTCCCCTATCTCCCCTGCTGGGGTATCGCTGTTGTGGGGAGGACAGACGGGAGGAGTAACAGGATGTTTATGTTGTGGGGGGGACAAATGGGAATGGTGGGAGTAACGGGATGTTGGTGTCCCCCCCCCCCCGCAGAATGAAGACCCGGCCAAGAACAACCCCCGCTTCTGGGAAGAGCTCTTCCTGATGAAGGTCAGTTTAGTCCCTCCCTCACCTGCCTCTCTCTCTCTCTCTCTCTACCCCTCCACCCTCCCCTTTCCCCCCTCCCCTTCCCCTCTCTCTCTCTCTCTCTCTCTTCCCCTCAGTGATCTGCCTTATAATATATAAAAATAATCCTTGCATTTCATATAGAGCCTTATCACATCGTTGAGATGTCTCAAAGCATTTCACAGAATATACAGTCGGGTGAATTGACTAAATATTTTGTGGGTGAAACAGTTGTTGTTGTCAATGTTTATGTGATGTTGTTGTAGTTGGTATTTACATGGTGGTGGTGTGTGTGGAGTAGGTAAACCTACAGTACCTGGAGACCAGGTTAGAGACACTGGATGGGGAGGAGTTGATGAAGCTGAAAGAGAATATAAACAGACTGTTCCAGCACTGCATCACCGCCCTGGGCGAGGAGCACCAGATCACAGTGGTCAACGCCCTGCAGGTCAGTCATTCCCCCCGATCTCCGCTCCAAACACAGTATTCTGTGTGGTGCTCTGTGTGCGCTGTGTGTGACACCATGTGACACTGCGCACTGTGTGACATTTTGTGTGCTGTGTGTGACGCTCTCTGTGTTTTAGACTCTGTGCACTGTGTGTGACACTGCACTGTGTATGACACTGTGTGCTGTGTGTAACACTGTGTGTGTTATATGTGATTTGCTCTGTGTTGCAGACACTCTGTGCACTGATCCGGGGGGTGCATCAGAAGAATAAGCCGACATCCGGCTTCGACATCATCAACCTACTGATGGGGTTCGACAAGGCGGAGCTCAGGATGAAAGTGAGGTCACTGTCTGTGCGTGGGCACTGGTGTGTGTGTGTGTGCGCGTGGGTTTGTGTGTGTGCGTGTGTGTGGGCACCTGTGTGTGTGCGTGCCTGAGTGGCTGTGTATTTGGGTTGGGTGTTGTGTTCTCCTCATGGCTGACCCTTTCTCCTGATTGATGCCTGTTTGATTCTCAGAACCTGATGGAAAGTCTGGACGCTCTGCTCTGCGGTGATGGCTCTGACAGTCTGAAGAGTCTATGTCTGAAGCTGCTGCTCTGCCTTGTGACGGTGAGAACAGCTGTCATCAGCCGTCTGCAGTGTGGAGAGAGCTTCACTCTGCATCTAACCCTGATCTGGGAGTGTGAATGGACAGAATAGATGGAGTCTACTGTGTCTCTAACCCTGACCTGGGAGTGTGGACGGACAGTGTAGAGGCAGATTTACTCTTAACATTTTTTAACTGAGTTCTCAGCTCTGTATCTCTGGTCTCATACACAGTATGTAAACATTCCCCACAGGTTACTGACAACATCAGCCAGAACACCATTCTGGAGTATGTGATGATCAACAGTATTTTTGAGGCGATTCTTCAGGTGAGGCCAGTGATGCTGTGTGTGTGTGGGGGGGGGAGGGGTGGGTGTAGGGGGTCTGTGTATGTTGGGGGGAGGATGGGGGCGGGGTATTATGTGTAAATGTATGTACTGGTGCGTTGATGGGGTCAGTAATTCAGTAGGTGTGGGGGCGCCTATTGGGAGGCTTCGTGTTCTGACTGAAGGTGTCCTTCCAGCATAGCCACCAGATGGCGCTGCAGCACAGTGTCTGACTCCCACCCTCACACAGTGTCTGACTCCCACCCTCACACAGTGTCTGACTCTCACCCTCACACACAGTGTCTGACTCCCACCCTCACACACAGTGTCTGACTCCCACCCTCACACACAGTGTCTGACTCTCACCCTCACACACAGTGTCTGACTCCCACCCTCACACACAGTGTCTGACTCCCACCCTCACACACAGTGTCTGACTCCCACCCTCACACACAGTGTCTGACTCTCACCCTCACACACAGTGTCTGACTCTCACCCTCACACATATAGCTCAGACATTGGCTGCTGAGTTTTCATTTTTATTAAATAGTGATAAATATTCAGCAGTGTGTGAAGGAGCCATCACCCCAGATTAATCACATCCCTGTGTGTGTGTCTGTCGTGTTTGTATCTGTGTGTATGTGTTTGTGTTGATCGTGTTTGTATCTTTGTGTGTTGTTGATGTTACACCAACAACAACACATTACATTTGCACAGCGCCTCTCATGTCGGGAGGACGTTCCAAAGCGATGGACAATGGAGGGGAAGGTGTCACTGAGCGTATGTGACAGGTGTGTGTTGTGATTGGCGCTGACCCACGGCTCTGTCTCTCCCAGGTATTGTCGGTGACATGTAGTCGGGTGCGGCACGGTTACCATTCTGTGGTGCTGCTGGCTCTGCTGGTCAATTACAGGAAGTACGAGGTAAGCGCAGTCCACTCTGCCCGACTCTCCTCATCCTGTATTCCCCCTCCCCGCACACTCCCCTCGCTTCCCTCCCCCCACCGCATCCCCTTCCCTCCACCCATCCCCCCACCTTCCTTCACGCTCTCCACTCCCCCTGCATCTCCCTTCGACACGGACCCACTGCGCCCCTCTCCCCCCGCACTCCCTCATCGCTGCAGTTGGGGTGGCTACTCTGTGACGTATTGTTGTGTCTGACAGTCTGTGAATCCCTACATCGTCAAGCTGTCCATCGTGGATGATGAGAACACACTGAACGTGAGTACCTGCAAGGGGTTGGTGGGGGTGGGAGGGCCTTCATGGAGCTGAACTGGCTCCAAGGTGACATGTTTGGCAACGGAATGTCAGAATCCAGCCAGCGCTCTGTGACGGTCTCTAGTCCAGTTTCTGAGCTAAACGTATCCACAATATCCCAGGGCACTCACTGCTGCTGACAGCACAGCCCGGCCTGTCTCATTGGCAGAACCTGGAAGGGCCGACCAGTCACTGGGGGAATCCTCCCACTAAGCTCCTGTTAACCCTGCAGCCAAAGCCCTAATGGGTGGGGTGGTCCAAGCTGCACAAACAAAGCTTGCCGGACAGTGACATTAATCGCAAGTTATGTGGTTTTAGGTGATTGGATTTACAGCAGTTACCCCAACACAAAGTCTGGGGTCTCCAAGCCTTGGCTCTTGCCAACCTGCGCCTAATACTTTTGCGGACTTAGGTAAGCAGGATGTATCCCTCCAGGGAGAGAGTGCATATTTCTCTCCAACAACTTATCTTTGGGATTTCCAAGTGTAGGTGGGATGCATGGAAATTTCAGACTGGTTTGGAGACTCTTAAGCACGGTGATGGATTTCCGCATATGTCAGACACCCAGCTGACCCCCGCCCACCCTCTCCCACTAAACCCACGTCTGACAAAGCCACAGTGAAACCCTGACAAGCTGACACTCCCAGCACCTGATCTGATGGTATTTGTAACCATCTGTGTTTCTCTTACAGGGGATGGGGCTCGTCATCTCCCAGGCCCTGGCCCAATACAACAGGTAACTAGCTCACTCGCTTACTGCCCACCCACCCACCCACCCACTCACTCACTCACTCACTCTTTCATTCTTTCACTCTCACATTCCAAGATCAGTGAAAGAGAATGAGAAATTAAGGTAAAATGTTTGAGAAGGGGTTGGTGGGGGTGTTTGTGCTGAGACTCAGTGAGGGAGTGATGGCCACTGTTCTCTCTCTGTGTGACAGACAATACAAGGACAAGGAGGAGGAGATTCAGGGCGGCTTCTTCTCTGCTATCAGCAGCATGGTGAGCACCGCCAGCATTCAGGCGCCGTATGTCAGAGGGTGAGGGTGTGGTGGGCAGGTAGGAGGGGAGTGCGTGGGGGGCAGCAGAGCTCGGGGTAACGGCAGTGGGTGTCGAGTGTGTGGTGGCAGTGGGCAGAGAGCGTGCCCCTGTGTGTGAGTGTGTTGTGTGGGTATGTGGTGTGTGTATGTGTGTGTAGCTCAGGGTGACAAGTTTGGTCTCTCTCCAGATGGGCAGTATGTTTATTGCGGACGCCGAGGAGAAGATTTCTGTGCAGTGAGTGACCCACAATCACCCTCAGCTCATACATGTGGTGCTCTGTAACTGAACTTCACTAAACCAGACTCCGTCAGCCCCCACCTCACCACAGGCTCCCCCCACCCCCCCCCCCCCACCAATCTCCCCTGTCGCTCACTCACTCACTCACTCAGTCACTCACTCACAGCATGTACCTGTCAGCACCCTGGGGGGTTTGGGGGGCAGTGTCAGTGCTGGCAGCACTTGCTGGGTTGGTGCTGACAGCCTGGTTCAGTTGGGCTGTTAATCCTGTGCCCACAATGTGAGTGTGTCTGTACTGAGGTTCAGAGTCCTCTTTCTTTGCATCTCTCTCTCTCTCTCTCTCTCTCTACCTCCTTTTTCTCCCCCGCTCTTTCTCTCGCTTTCTCTCTGTTTCTCCCTCTCTCTCCCCCTCTCTCTCTTTCTCTGCTTCTCTCTCTATCTCACTCTCTCAGAAGACAAATCCTGCACTCTATATAGCCTTACCATGTCAAAATGTTTTGAAACATTTCACAGTACATGTTGTGTATTGACTGTTTTTTGATTGTCTGATATTCAGGGAGATTCGGTGGTGGGATGGGGAGGAGAGGGGCGCGGTGGGGGAGAGGGGAGTGGTGTGGGGTGGTGGGGGGAGTGGGAGCTGTGGGGGATGGGGAGCTGTGGGGGAAGGGGGAGCGGTGGGGGAGGAGGCAGGTCACAGCCTCTTGTACCACAGGCAGACAGGATGTGAGGGATTGATTGTACTGAGGATACAGACTAATCGTGTGTCAGACAATGTTAGGGCAAGTGAGTGTCTCGGCTTGTTATTGGGAATGGGAGCGGAGGACATCTCTCTCTCTCCCCCGGTGCTCACCTGCATTCTCTCCCACTCAGAACCAATGAGGCCATCTTACTGGCTCTGTACGAGGCTGTCCATCTCAACAGAAACTTCATCACCGTGTTAGCACAGGTAGGTATACCACCCTGGGGTCTTCCCTCCCCACCCGCGAGTGACAGGGCCCCCCCCCCCAGGTGGGAGGTGTCCAGGTGGGAGGGGTGGGGAGGACAGAAGTGCAGTGTAGGAACATTTCACAACCAGCCAATGGTGTACTTGGGAGCTTTAGAGTTACAAGCGTTCCCTGTGTGTGTGTGTGTGTGTGTGTGTGTCCGAGTGTGTGTCCGAGCTAACAGGCCCCAGTGCTGTGTTTGCAGGGAGACAGCTGGTAAAGTGTGAACCTGTTATGACGTTCAGTTTTCTGCTTAAATCTCAGAGTCACCCAGAGATTGGACTCAGCACACCCATTACCCCAGTCACCCCGACAACACCCAGCACACCGCTAGGTACCACACCTCCCAGCTCAGACGGCAAGTCCTTCATCATTATCATAATAATAACAGCAATAATAATTCTTGCATTTGATTTAGCGCCTTACCATTTCGTTGAGACGTCTCAAACGTCAAGATACACTCCTCATTATCTCTCTCTGTCTCTTTCTTTCTCTCACTTTGTCTCTGTTTCTGTTTCTCTCTTTCTGTTTGTCACTCGCTGCCTCTGCCTCCCTATCTCTCTCTCGGTTTCTCTCTCTCTCCCTCCCCGTCTCTGTCTCTCTCTCTGTTTGTCACTCTCTCTCCCTGTCTCTCTCACACACACGTGCACACGAGTTATGTTCACCGATTCTTCTTGCTTTCTGCTGTTGCTGCATTAATGATTCTATGTAAAATTTTACTAATTTATTCATCTCCCTCGTCTGTCACTTGCGAGGTAATGAGGCTGGGACAGGCAGCTCTGATGTAACCTCTCTTGACTCTGCTCCTGCAGTAATGAACACTTCCGAGCTCCTGTTAGACCCGAACGTGCAGACGGGAAACCTCCTGATCACCTTCCTCAAGTACTGCTCCATCGTCATGCAGGACACCAAAGGTGCATCACAGAGACAGAGACCGTGCAGAATATAATCTATAATCATCCTTACATTTGATATCACGCCTTATCCCGTCGTTGAGACATCTTGTAGACATAAGTAGACCTTTCAGCTCCTCGAGCCTGTTCCCCCTATCTATAAAATCGTGGCTGATCTGTACCTCAACTCCAATTACCCGCCCTTGCCCCCTATCCCTTGATAATAATAATCCTAGCATTTGATATAGCACCTTATCACGTCTTTGGGATGTCTCAAAGCGCTTCACAGAATATACTGTAAAATGAATTATACAGCCAATTGATATCCTGACCAAACAAACATCTATCCACTCTGCCCCCCCTCCCATTCCAACACTGCCCTCCCGCACCAGCACTCTGCCCCCAACATTCTGACCTCCCCGTCGTTCCAGTCATGAAGATGTGAATGGATTCAGCCATGATCCACAGTCCTTTCTTCCTCATATCCGCGCCACAACTGGCACCGCCTTCCATCACCTCCGGAATATTGCCAGACTACAGCACTACCTCACCCCTCACGCGGCTGAAACTCTGGTCCACGCCTTTATCACCTCAAGGCTGGACTATGGGAACTCTCTCCTCGTCAGCCTTCCCGGCCCTCCCTCCACACTGCAGGTCATTCAGAACTCTGCAGCTCGTGTACTGTCTCGCACCAGACACTAAGACCACATCACTCCCACCCTCGCCCTCACCCTCACCCTCACCCTCGCCCTCGCTCGCCTACACCGGCTCCCCATCCCCCGGAGGATCGAATTCAAGATCCTCATCCTCACCTACAAGGCCATTCACGGCCTCGCTCCCTCCTACCTCTCCAACCTACTATCCCCCTACTTACCTGCCCGTACCCTCCGTTCCTCTGGCTCCGGTCTGCTCCACATCCCCCGCCCCAACTGCCCTACCATCGGTGGCCTTCAGCCCCGAGGCTCTGGAACTCCATCCCCCAGTGCCTTCACCGCTTCCTCCCTTTCCTCCTTCAAGGCCGGTCTCAAGACCTTTCTCTTTGAACGAGCCTTCAGCTCCCCTCTCGACTCTGTACCCCCTCCTCGCCCCCTCCCTTCCCTCCCCTCACCATTTCCCCCCTCCTCGCCCCCTCCCTTCCCTCCCCTCACCCTGACCATTTCCCCCCTGCTCGGGTCCTGACCCAACTGTACAGCGCCTTGGGATGTCCTCCCGACGTGAAAGGCGCTCTATAAATTAAATCTTGTTGTTGTTGTTATGGCGGAGAGAGTTCTAAACCGCTTCACAAAATACACTGTAATTCCTCCCATTGCCCCAGGCCCTACATTGTCAGAGGTGCCGTCCCTCAGATAAGATGATAAAATGAAATTGTGTTTGACTGTTCAAATGAAAGTCCCTGTGATGCAAGTCTGAGCCCAGCTATCGTGTGGACAGTTGTGACTGGCTGAGTTTCTGTCCGTGTCCGACCTGCCTGCCCTCTCCTGCTCATTCCACCCTTTTACCTTTCAGATGAACACCGGCTGAACAGTGCTCGGCTCTGTCTGATTATCCTGACGTGTATTGCTGAGGTATGTCTGAGACACTGTCTCGGCCTGACTGGAGCGATCACACCACGTGTCCAATCACAGCATCTCATCAATTCATCAACAACAACATAGCACCTTTCACGTTGGAGGACGTCCAAAGTCGCTAGACAGTCAGAGATATTGTACCCGAGCAGGGGTTTGGGATTAGGAGGGGTGGGGGTCTAGGGAGGTGGGGATAGGAGGATGCCCGAATGTGCAGTCGAGGATGAGCGTCTTGAGACAGGCCTTGAAGGAGGCAAGGGAAGGGGAGAGGCGAAGGGACTATGGGATGGAGTTCCAAAGGATGGGGGCAGAGAGACTGAAGGCCCGACTGCCGATGGTGGGGGTGGAGGGGAGCGGGCAGAGGACATGGAGCAGGCCGGAGCCCGCTAAGCGGAGGGAGTGGACAGGTCGGTGTGAGGTTAGCAGGTCACATCACTGAGTAACACTCATTCTATTCCGTCTTTACATTCATTCTATCCATCCCTCCCCCAAATAGCATACACTCTGTGTCAGGGAGGAAAGGCAGAGCGTGTTAACTTGTGATTGGAGGCTGTGTGGGTGGGTGGGGGGTGAGGCTGGGGACTGGGCTTGCACAGGTTGTGTAATTAATATGTTCTGTCCTCTCTGGTTCAGGATCAGTACGCTAACACGTTCCTTCATGACGATAACATGAATTTCCGTGTTAACCTGCACAGGATGGTGAGTGGAGCTGGGCAGGCTGGATGGGGGAGTGGGCGGGCAGAGTGTTGGTATGTGGGGGGCAGAGTGCTGGTATGTGGGGGGCAGAGTGTTGGTATGTGGGGAGGGGGGGGCAGAGTGTTGGGGGGCCAGAGTGTTGGTGTGAGGGGGGGCACAGTGTTGGGGGCGCAGATTGTTGGTGCGGGAGGGGGCAGAGTGTTGGTGTGAGGGGGGGGGCACAGTGTTAGGGGGGGCAGAGTGTTGGTGCAAGGGGGCAGAGTGATGGCGCAGGGGAGTGCAGAGTATGGGGGGGGGCAGAGTGTTGGGGAGACAGAGTGCTGGTGCAAGGGGGCAGAGAGATGGTGTGGGGGAGTGCAGAGTGTTGGGGGGGGGGGCGGGGGCAGAGTGTGCGTGCGGAACTGAGATGCAGCGTTATAATGACATTTAACTTATAATTTGCTGTTAGCCCATGAGACATCGCAAAAAAAGTGCAGACAAGAGCATCCCCTCACGGCCTCTGGTGTGCGCAGTGCTCGGTAAGTCATCACACCCTCCCCTCAGCGCTGGGTAAGCCAATCCCCCCTAGCTGGTATGTGACCCCAGCCGACAGCTGTGTGTGACCCCAGCCGACAGCTGTGTGTGACCCCAGCCAACAGCTGTGTGTATATTAATACATCCACAATTTAGACAACATCTGGGAAGGTGATTGTGTCACTGATTTAAATAAGCAAAACAGACTAATTAGGAAACAGACTTTCTCTATCTTGAAGAAAACATACCTGTTTTTTCTGCACTGTGAGCAGGTTTATCTCAGGCTGGAGAGGAAAGCGGGGGATCTGTTACACGTTGGGGAATAGTGAGGTTTAGTGAGAAATATCACACGGGAGCTGATGTTATTAGTGGGGGAATTAAACAGAGGAACCTCTAATTACTGTAATGTGCAGATAGCAGAAATATCACAATATCCCAGTATCCTGCCTTGCACTGCTTCAAACCCAGCAGCAAACACCGTCTCTCTCTCTAACTCTCCCTCACTCTGCCTCTCTCTCTCTCACTCTCCCTCTCTCTCCCTCTTCGCTCTCACTCCCTCTCTCTCTCTCTCGCTCTCCCTCTCTTTCGTCCTCCCTCTCTCGTGTGGGGTCACATTCCAGGCTGATGCTCCAGCACAGCGCAGGAGGGAGAGAGCGCCGCATTGTCAGAGACGCCGTCACTCAGATGAAACTGAGGATCTGTCTGTACTGCTTCAGGTGGTTGTTAAAGATCCTGTGGCGCTGTTGGAAAAGAGAAGGGAGTTCCTCTCTCTCCCTGTGTCCTAGCCAACAGTACCCCAGATACAATTAATCTATCGGCCGTGTTGGCCTCAAAGTACACAGTCACTACATCTGATTGCGATTCTCTGTGAAGAGCTTGAGATGTTTTGGGTTTGTAGGGGCTGGATCAGGTGAAGGGATTATTATGGGATGCGAGAACCAGTGAGAATTAGCAAGGCCTTTCGCATGTGTTGTATGAGTGTGGAGTGTAAAGCCTGTGTAACGCTGACTGTGTCTGTCTCAGATCTCATGGTGGAGTTCATGGTCACGCACATGATGAAGGAGTTCCCCATGGACCTCTACGTGTAAGTTCATCACCTAGAGTTCTTCCTTTCCTCTTTTTGTGGCGTCCTGTAGCAAAGTGATTAACACAAAGGAGCAAGGCCAGGAGATTTGTGGAGCGCTCCATCGCTGAGGGTACAGATGAAGGAAGAGATGTGGATTCCTGTAGCGTAGTCATAGTGGTTAGAGCACTCGCCTCGCAAGCGAGAGGACCTGGCGGGGCAGGACGAAACATTGGGCAAGTTTCCTTACTCCACACGCCTGTTTACCGAGCAGTGAATAGCAACCCGGTTGTTAGTCGATTGGTGGATTGGTTTTCCGGGTGTAATCCCTCCAGATAGTGCAGATGGGCTGGGGGGCCTGGGGGTTGGCTGACTCGGTGACTGGGGTATAAATAAGCTTCTCTCTGGTTTGGTGCCGCATTTGGAGTCTGATCTCTTTCTCTCTCTCTCTCTCTCTCTCAGACGTTGTGTTCAGATTGTCCACAAACTGATCTGTTATCAGAAGAAATGCCGAGTGCGGCTGCACTACACCTGGCGAGAGCTCTGGTCAGGTAAGCCTCGCCCTCACTGACCCCGGCCCACCGGCCCCGTCCCACCCCACATGGCCCCTCCCACCCCGCCAGCCCCTCCGCCTCTGACTGAGGGAATGTGTGAGAATTCTGGTTTAATTTCAGGACCAAGTGATATAAATAGTTTGGCTGCTCTGGGCTCTGCTCCACAGCTATTGGCTGTTGAGAGATGAGGAGAGAAGCTATGTATGTTTCCAACTCACTCACTGTCTCTCACACTCTGGGATTCATTCACTCACTCTCTCAATCTGTCACCCTCTCTCTCTCTCACTCACTCTCAATCTGTCACTCACATTCATTCTCTCACACTCACTCTCACACTCACTCACTCTCATAATTACTCACTCAATCTGTCACTCACTCCGTTTATCATTTATTCACTCTGTTTCACACTCTATATATCTCTCTCTCTCCCTCTCTTGCTCGCTCACTCACTAGGAATCTGTCACTCACTCTCTCGGTCTGTCAGTCACTGAGTTTCTCATTCTCTCTCCCCCTGGATCTCCCCCTCACTCACTCCCTGGCTCTGGCTCAGGCTGGTGCTGGGGCTGTGGACAGCTGTGGACAGCGATGAATAGTTGCACTCTCTCCAGTCTGAATCACTGCTGCTGACAAACTGGAATGTTCCTGACTGGTGTGGACCAGGCCTTGTTTGTGTCGGGAATGGCCATGTCTTATGGATTTGGTGCCATCAATGTAATTAGTCCCCATCAAGTGCTGCACATAGAACCAGAAAAATAATGTGAGCCACTCCAAACAGGCAGCTCCTGTGCCCTCCACTGCCTGTCACTGTGTCACTGCCACAGACTGACCAGGGGGGAGAGGGGGAACTTTCTCTCTCTCCCAAATCCACTCCTCACTCTGAGGTTAGATACAGAGTAAAACTCCCTCTGAGACTCCCTCTGTCTCTAACCCGTAATGTGTGAATGGCGAATTCTCTCCGAGTTGTTCACGGTAGGGATTGTATGGAGGTGGAGGATGTTGTGGTGTGTGTGGCTGGTGTGATGTTGGGGGAGTGTGATTTGCTGACCTGTGCTCTGTGTGATTGCAGCTCTCATTAACCTGCTTAAGTTCCTGATGTCCAATGAGACTGTGCTGCTGGGAAAGTACAACATCTTCACGCTGGCTCTGATGGTGAGATTAGCCGCACAATCCCTCCATACCCCGCCCCCGGCTCTGTCCCTCCATCTATCCCTCTCTCTCTCTCTCTTCTTCCCTCTCTCTCTCTACGCTGCCCCCTCGTTCTCTCTTTGTCCGTCTGTTCCCCCCTCACCACCATGTTGGGATGCAGTAACCATGGTGACCTTTTGCTCTGGGGCAGGTTGTGAATTTATTTAACGTCTTCATCACGTACGGGGACACGTTCCTGCCGACTCCGTGCAGCTACGATGAACTTTACTACGAGATTGTTCGCATGCACCAGGTCTTTGACAACCTGTACTCTATGGGTAAGTCATGCTCACAGCTCTCGCTCACTTGCTCACTCACTCCTCCCTCGCTCATTTGCTATCACTCACTCTCTTTCTCTTTCCTCGCGCTCTCTCCTCGCTCTCACTCCGCGCTCTCTCTCCTCGCACTCACTCCTCGCTCTCTCTCATTCGCCCCCTGTGTTTATCAGTGTTCACTCTCCACCATTGTAGCGTAGTGGTTAAAGCGCTCGCCTCATAAGCAAGAGGACCCGAGTTCGATTCCCGGGCAGGGCGAAATCTTAGGCAAGTTTCCTTACTCCACATGCCTCTGTTTACCGAGCAGAAATTAGGAACCTGGTTGTTAGTCGATTGGCGGATCGCTTTTCCGGGGGTAATAATCCATTTATTAAAAAAAAATTAGTCACTCAATCCATGACTGTTTGAGGGACACTGCTGTACGCAATTGGCTGCCACATTTCACCCCCAAAATATATAGGATTATTATTATTATTATTATGTATAAACCTGGCTGGGATCAGTAATTGAGCCACCGGGCGTTCTCACTCACTGTCCCCCAACGCTGTGTGTGACTCACTAAGGACTCGGGAAGTGCGATGAGTCTCCCAGAATATAGTGGTGAGGAGGCTACAGTGATGTGCTGAGACCCCACACTGACCATTACCCTGGGAGGTCTCTGCTCAACCCCATATTGGCAGTGAAGGTTTGAGATTTTTCTCTGTTGCAGTGTTAAGGCTGTCGACAAACAGTGGACAGTGGAAGGAACCGGCGAGTAAAGTGACACACGCGCTCATCAACATCAGGTGAGAACATGTCGGTAGTGATTTACATGCTCGTGGCAATTTACACCAGCACAGACACGCTGGAGAGAGAGAGCAGGGAATAGGATTAGAGTAGACAGCTCCAGTGAGGGAACGAGCACCAGCACAGACACAATGGGGAGAGAGAGAGCAGGGAATGGGGTTAGAGTAGAGAGTTCCAGTGGGGGAGCGAGCCCCAGCACAGACACGATGGGGGGAGAGAGAGAGCAGGGAAGGGGTTAAAGCAAAGAGCTCCTATTGTGTGTGACAAATGAGTCCATGTATCTACGTTAAGTGGTTTAATTACCTGTGGTGTACTGGCTGAGCAGAGAGCTGGGGTGATGTGGGGGAGGCTGGTGAGTTCAGTCACCCTGTTCATCAGAGCGGCTGACCTGCTCTGCACAAGCTGCCAACAGCTGGTCAATAGGTGAGTCAATCGATCGGCTGAAGCCAGGCTGTGATTCATCCTCCTGTCCTCTTAATCACACGTCCTTGCTGTGCTCCCACGTTTCCTCATACACACCATCTGCATTTTCCTGAGAATGTTTTTTAATGTAACACAACTTAATTAAGTCCTAAACCTATTGATGATTACTCCTGGAGTCCTGTAGCTCAGTGGTTAGAGCACTCACCTCGCAAGCGAGAGCATCCAGGTTTGATTCATGGGCAGGGGGAAACGTTGGGCAAGTTTCCTTACTGCACACACCTCTGTTTACCTAGCAATAAGTAGGTTGTTAGTCAATTAGTGGATGGATCGCTTTTCTGGGGGTAATGATTCCTTCAAAATTTAACAAATACATTTTTAAAGATTTGGTTACTCAATCCACAACTGTTTGTGGGACACTGCTGTGCACAATTGGCTGCCGTGTTTCGCCCACAAAATATACAGGTAATTCACTATATTCAGTGAAGTGCTTTGAGACATCTCAATGACGAGCTAAGGGGCTATATAATAAGGTTTATTATTATGAATCACTTTACATCGAGACTCATTATTAGCGTTGCAGAATGTTAATTTAATTACCAGATCTATTTCATAATCCAATTATTCCACAGTGTGAGCAATTGATATCTTCCATTTCTGTTAAACGATGATCAGTCACTCGGCAGTGAGGCTGCTCTACCCCCACCCTGTGCCCCTCCCCCCCATCCCCCCACCCTGCTGAGACTCCAGTATTACAAGGCTGATCAAATTCAGATTAACAATACAGAAAAGAAAGTGTCTCGGAGTGCTTTACACAGTGTCATTGACTCGAAATGAAGGTGAATGTTATAAGAATCCTGACGTTTGATGTGAGAATGTCAAAACACTACAGAGTTCTGTGTGAAGGGCTGTGTCTGTGTTTGTAGGCGAAAGCAGCAGCCAATTTGCGCACAGCAGTTCCCAACAAATAGCCATGAGCGATTTATCTGGGGGATTGTCAGCTAGGACACTGGGAGAGAGAGAAAAACTCCCTTCTCTTTTATGATAGCTCCGAGGGACATTTAACATCCACCTGAACAGGCACAGACAGGACCTCAGTTTAATGTCTGATAATAATAATGCTTGCATTTGATACAGAGCTTATCAAGTTAATGAGACGTCTCAAAGTGCTTTACAGAATATACTGTAAAGTGAATTGACTATATTTTGTGGGGGAAACGCGACAGCCAATTGCGCACAGCAGTGTCCCACAAACAGTCATGGATTGAGTGACTCAATTTGTTTTGGAGGGATTATTACCCCTGGAAAAACAATCCATCAATCGACAAACTCGTGAAGGAGTGTCCGACAATGTGGCACTCTCTTCCCCCCCAGCAATGCACTGGAGCGTCAGCCTGGACTGTGAGCTTGTGCCCCTGTAACCAGAGGGTGAGGGGCTGAAATTTTTTACAGCACATATTTGTTCTTCATTTTGTGTTTTTTCATAGTAAAGAAAGGGGAGGAATCAGATTTACCTGCTGTTTGCGCTAGAAAATCTAAAGTCAAGATTAACACACCACACACAGGCACCCAAGCCATACCAGACATACACATCACAGATACACCCCCCCCCCCACCACCACACACATACACCCAACCCACAGCACAGAGATAAATACATAGCACACAGGCACTCATCCATAGACACACAGACAGATTTACAGATACACTCACAGACAACACGCGCACAGCACTGTGACAGCTCACTAGCCAGAGATTTACAGCGTGTAGCTGTGGAACCAGAGCCTACAAATGAAGAGTGATGTAACAGGAACAATCTTTCTCCTAAGCTTTTAATTCCCATCATGTCCTCTCAGGACAGCGAGTGGCTGACCTCGGGTAATCTCTCTAATCCATCCCTTTCTCTTCTCTCCCCATTGCTGTAATTACACACACAGCGCATGAGGATCACTTGGTTTGTGGTGACAATCCACTTCAGATGATGTGATCTCATCCCATCCTCGGTCGGCTGTTTAGTTGTTCCGATCCCCTGGTCTCCACCATCCAATCTTCCAACTGTGATCTCCCCTTCCCTGTGTCTGCCCTCAACCACAGCCCCGCCTCCGCCCACTCCAGCCCCGCCTCCGCCCACTCCAGCCCCGCCTCCGCCCACTCCAGCCCCGCCTCCGCCCACTCCAGCCCCGCCTCCGCCCACTCCAGCCCGCCTCCGCCCACTCCAGCCCCGCCTCCGCCCACTCCAGCCCCGCCTCCGCTCACTCCAGCCCCGCCTCCGCCCACTCCAGCCCCGCCTCCGCCCACTCCAGCCCCGCCTCCGCCCACTCCAGCCCCGCCTCCGCTCACTCCAGCCCCGCCTCCGCTCACTCCAGCCCCGCCTCCGCGCACTCCAGCCCCGCCTCCGCCCACTCCAGCCCCGCCTCCGCCCACTCCAGCCCCGCCTCCGCCCACTCCAGCCCCGCCTCCGCCCACTCCAGCCCCGCCTCCGCCCACTCCAGCCCCGCCTCCGCCCACTCCAGCCCCGCCTCCGCCCACTCCAGCCCCGCCTCTGCCCACTCCAGCCCCGCCTCCGCTCACTCCAGCCCCGCCTCCGCCCACTCCAGCCCCGCCTCCGCCCACTCCAGCCCCGCCTCTGCCCACTCCAGCCCCGCCTCCGCCCACTCCAGCCCCGCCTCTGCCCTCCCTAGCCCTGCCTCCACCCACCCCAGCCCTGCCTCTACCCATCCAACCCAGACCCACCTCCACCCAACCCAGACCCGCCTCCACTCACCCAGCCCCGCCTCCACTCACCCAGCCCCGCCTCCACACCCAGCCCCGCCTCCACTCACCCAGCCCCGCCTCCACTCACCCAGCCCTGCCTCCACTCACCCAGCCCCGCCTCCACTCACCCAGCCCCACCTCCACCCATCACTCCCTCTGTGTATGTGTGTGACCCTCTCCCCACCCTGTTCTGTGTGTATGTGCGTACGCATGTATCAGACTTCTCTCCCTCCTCCCTGTGTCCGTTTTCCCCCTTTATGTGTGTGTGTGTCTCTCGCTCAGTGTCAACTCAGTGCATATGAGCTATTGATCAGTGCTGACGTGCAGTGTATCATTTGACAGTAATGGTTATGAGATGAGAGCTCAGAATATGAATGATCAAAGTGCAGCATTTAGCATTTATCCCCTGAACTCCTCCAATACAATCACATCCCAGCCTGGCGCATTGCACACAGTGGGGGGGAGGGGGCTGGTTCAGTGTTAAACCAGCTAACACTAACAGCAGCGATTCCACTAACTGGTGATCTTGTCAGCTAACCAGTGATCCAACACATTAATCCCACTCGTGATCCCACCAACCAGTAATTTCACTCACAGGTGATCCCACTAACCAGCCATCAAACCTGAATGTAGGAGGTTGTCGGTTTTAACCCTGTGTCGGGGTTCACAGTCCAGGCTGAAGCTTCAGCCCGGTGCTGGGTGGAGAGAACGCTGTTTTGTCAGAGACACCGCCTCTCGGATGAGACATTAAACCCAGGTCCTGTCTGTCTATTTTTGTCATCTCCATCATTCACCTCATAGCTGTGTGTAAAATGTCTGCCACAGTTGCCTAGAACACAATGAGGAGTGTGTGTATTGTTCTGACTCACACTCTCGTGGGCTGGTTTACTGTTGAGCCCAGCACAACACAAACCATTTTCCTAGAGACTTTAGGATGTTTGTAAAATATCCCTGATTTTATCTTGGGTACAACATCTGTTTATATATGTGGAGTCCTGTAGCTCAGTGGTTAGAGCACTCGCTTTGCAAGTGAGAGACCTGAGTTCAATTCCAGGCAGAGGGCGAAACCTTGGGCAAGTTTCCTTACTCCACACGCCTAATAATAATAATCCCTCCAAAAAACAAAAACAATAATTAAATTGGTCATTTTCAATCTACGACTGTTTGTGGGACATTGCTGTGCGCAATTGGCTGCCGCGTTAGCCCACAAATATACAGTCAATTCACTTTACACTGTGTTCTGTGAAGCGCTTTGGGACGTCCTCCTGACGTGAAAAGCGCTATATCAAATGCAAGGATTATTATTATTATTATTATTATTATTATATAAAGTGCCCTCAGTGTTGAGTGGGTGGGAGGCTCTGTCTAATTTCTTCCTCCTCCTGTTTCAGAGCCATTGTCAACCATTTTAACCCAAAGATTGAGTCTTACGCTATGGTCAACCACATCTCTCAGCTCTCAGAGGATCAGGTAGGTACTTGTCACCAGCACAGCTCTCTATATTTAGCGAGTCCAATTATTTCTCATTTTCTCCCTGTTGGTGTATTTCCTCTGTGCCCCCAGTCTGGCCTCTCATTGGACACTGGTTACCCTCTCGCCCCCACCCTCCGACCAGTGTCCATGTCCGAGCTCTTGGCAGTGAGTTTGGGCAGGTCAGAGGGGGTTGCAGGTGAGCCTGACCTCTGCCCACCCAGCTGTCACATGTGCACTGCCTTTAGAGAGCACTACAGAGGCACCTGGAGCAGGAAATCTGCCTGGTTTTCTCCTCCCCAACCCAAGGATTATTAGGGGAGTCCTGATGCGTATTGGTTAGAGCACGAGCCTGGAAAGCGAGAGGACCCCGATGTGATTCCTTTTGGCCTAAATTCATTAAAGAGTTATAATATTGGCAAAATAAATAATTTGGTCATTCAATTCACGACTGTTTGTGGAACACTTACTGTGCACGTTTGGCTGCCGCGTTTCGTGAACAAAATATACAGGCAATTCATTTTGCAGTATATTCTGTGAAGCGCTTTGAGACGTCTCAATGATGCAATAAGGCGCTATATCAAATGCAAGAATTATTATGATTTCATTAATCTCCTGCCAGACCTCATTACTACATTGCAAACTGTAGCTCTTCTCAGGCTCCGGCTCCCAGCACAGACACTGTCACACCTGCTGCCTGGTGAGATTCACAGGGCAAACTGCCAAGTCTTCCCTTCTCTCTGCACCTTCACTCACCCACCAACGAGCGAGCAAGGGAAACTAGCCTGTCATCATTCCCGGTGTTGGCCCACATCCAGGCCACTAGAGTGAAGATGAATTGAGTGCTGTTCCCTAAGCCTGTCTCCCAGACAGTGTCTGGGCCACAGAGGAGCAGGAACCAATTTCATTCCGTGCCGTGGCTAGCCCTTTGGCCTAAATGCATTAAAGAGTTACAAAATCAGCAATTTCTTTCTGAGGAAGTTTCTGTGACGCAGGAGTCGGACAGAGCAGAGCTCACCTCAATGCTCGTGACTACTGACTGAATACAGGCCCTGGGGGAGCGAGCACCAACACAGATACGATGGGGAGAGAGCAGGGAATGGGGTTAGAGAGCTGTAATCTCTCAAAATTGGGCGAGTGGCGATGATTTGGGGAGGGTAAATCATCCAGTGCTTTGGGACGTCCTCTTGACGTGAAAGGCGCTGTACAAATGTAATTTGTTGTTGTTGGGATGAGTAACCTTGGCCTATCTGCTGAACGCATCTGTGCAGAATAACGCTTTCAAAGCCTTAGCGAGAGAGAGAGGGGGAGAGAATGTTGCTGCCAATGGCTAAGTAGCACAAGCAAGTGCCAGTATTATTAGGGATTAAGGGATATGGGGATAAGGCAGGGTTAGGTTATTAGCTGGAGTTAGATTAGAAGATCAGCCATGATTCAATGGTGGGGCAGAGGCTCGAAGGGTCGAATGGCCTACGCCTGCTCCTACATGTTATGTTATAAATCCAGCACAGTCCTCAGGCTGAACATCATTAGACTGCCTGCTCATTTACTCCTACAGCAGGGTCAGTGAGAGCAGCGAGCAGTGCGGTCAGACCTGGGCAGCCCTCCCGAGGTGGGTTGATCCTGCCTGTACACATTACACACACAGCAGCAGCACTCTCTGTGTTACTGCTCCTAATTGCTGCCAGGTTGATCTGGAGGGTGATCTGGGCTATTGATGGAGTCCATTAGTGAGGGGATTGTGTGAGGTGGAGCAAAACTCAGCCGTTCGAGTTCTCACCCCGGAGTCTCTCACTGACTCCGAGTTTACAGTCTACACTCGTGCTCCAGAGCAGTGCAGGGGGGATTCATAATAATAATAATAATCTGTATATGGTATAACGCCATATCAAGTCATTGAGATTTGTGCTTCATAGGATATACTGTAAAATGTAGTGGACTGTGTTTTGTGGGTGAAACGCAGCAGCCAATTGCGCACAACAGCGTCCCCCCAAATAACCGTGGATTGAGTGACCCATTTTATTGGGGGTTGTTGGCCAGGACACAGGGAGAGAGAGAGAGAGAGAGAGAGAGAGAGAAACTCCCTTCTCTTTTCCAATAGCACAGTGGGATCTTTAACGTCCGCCTGAACAGACAGACGGGGCTTCAGTTTAACGTCTCACCCGAAGGCCAGAATCTCTAAGACAGTGCAATACATCCCATAGCATTGGAGCGTCAGTTTAGAGACTTCGTGATTCCAAATCCTGACGTGTGGGGCTTGAACCCACAGCCTTCTGACTGAGAGGCGACAGAGCTACCGCTGAGCCCAGCTGCCACACAAGGAGTTGCTGTAATGGGACACAGCAGAGAGCGAGCTCGGTTGCCTGTCAGATGTTATTTTCAAGACAGTGGTATTGATCAGAGTATCAGTGATTTCTTCCCTCTCACAGTCTGATTGCTGGTGAGCACTGCTTCAGCCTTAGTGCTCCCAGTTCATCCCAGAGCCAGTCACAATGAAGTAACCACAGCTACTGCTCATTACTCCCTGACCCGCACCCCCCCCCAGTTATACTCCAGCCTAGAACTCACTCCCAAGGGTGCGTTATTCTATGTCAACCCCCTCCCAAAACCTTTGTATTAGATTCCAGCCTCTAACTAACATCTGGGCGCGTTACAACAGTGACCTTAGGCACAGTTGAAGAGGAAGGTCTTCAGGCACAATCTGAAGATGGGGAAGGTGGGGGCGAGGTGGAGAGATAGAGGGAGAGTGTTCACAGGTGTGTGTATGTGGAGTGGGAATGTTGAGGGTGTACTGTGAGTGGTGTACTGTGGATGTACTTCCCCCGGCTCCGGGTGTGCTTCCTGGCAGTGAGGGGGGAAGTGTGTGACAAGAGAGCAGCCCAGGCACTGACACTGACCTGCCTGTTCCTGAAATAAGTCTGAATGTGTAGGAGGCTGTGTTATTAGAGTGCTGGCTTACAAGGTAGTGAGCAACTAGTTTGGAATGAGGTGGGAGCGTGGCCTGGCTCTGTGTGAGCGCTGTTAATGAAGCACAGATTAACTGTACATCTTGTCTCTTGTGGCATTAGACCCTATTACAGGTCCCCACACACTCGTGCTTATCAGGCAATTCCATGGGCTGATGGATTGTGGTGTGTGTGGTGTGTGTGTGTGTGTGGGTGGTTGTGTGTGTGTGATGTGCATGCTCACTTCTGGTGAATAATAGTCAGAATAATCCTGACATTTGAGCCAGTGCCTGTCATGTTTCAATGTCTCACCAGCCCCTCACAGGCAGTCACAGTCTAGTGTAATGACGGACGCGGCAGACAGTTTGTCTGAGGGCTGTGGTTTGCGCTGGGGCTGGTTTGTGTTGGGCTGAGCTGTGGAGAGGCTGGGCCTGGGTTGCATTGAGCTGGGCCACACTGCGCTGGGCTGTGTTGGGTTGGGCTGTGTGGAGTTGGTGTGTGTTGAGCTGGGCTGGAGGCTTTGTTGTGTTGGGCTGTGTGGAACCTGGGCTGTGTTGGGCTGGGCCACACTGGGCTGCACTGTGTGGAGGCTGCGCTGTGTTGGGCTGGGGCTTTGTTGGGTTGGACTGTGTGGAGGTTGGGCTGTGTCTGGCTGTACTGTAAGCTGTGTTTCTGGCAGGTGCTGGAGGTGGTGCGTTCTAACTACGACACACTGACCCTGAAACTCCAGGACGGCCTGGATCAGTACGAGCGATACTCAGAGCAGCCCAGGGAGGCCGCCTTCTTCAAGGAACTGGTGAGACCAAGAAGTTAATCATTCACACGAGCCTTACAGAGAGGCCATTCAGCCCGGCGTCCATCCATCTGTCTCTCCGTCTGTCTGTCTCTCCATCTGTCGTAAATTTAATTGTGGAAATCTCTTTACTTCCGTCTGAATGTGGAAACTGGTGTCAAATGTCTCAATCTTTACCCCCACAGCTGAGGCCCTGGTGAATCCTTATGGTTAGGAGCTGAGGCCCTGGTGTGGGCAGCTCAGGCCTGAGTGAGGCTTCATATCAACCTGTCTGCTCCCTCTGCTCAGCAGGCTCCGGCCTGCTCCATATCCCCCGCGCAGCCTGCCCCACCATCGGCGGGCGGGCCTTCACCCTCTCTGCCCCCACCTTTGGAACCCCATCCCACAGTCCCTTCACCTCGCTTTCTCCCATGCCTCCTTCAAGGCACATACCTTCTCTCAAGACCCTGCTCTTCGACCGGGCCTTTCGCCACCCTCCTAGCCCTACCTTCCCTGCCTTCCACCCCTCCTGATCCCAACCTCCAGCTCGGGTCCAGATCCCTAACTGTCCGGTGGCGTGGGACATCCTCCCAATATGAAAGTGTAAATGTAACTTCTTGTTGTTGTTGATGAGGCCTCACTGTGTTGTTGTGCCCTCAGGTCCGGTCAATCAGCCTGAACGTGAGGAAGAACCTGGCAGTGAGCACGCTGACCCAGGAGCTCTTACTGAAGGAATTTTCTACCATCTCCTGAAGCTCTCGCTGAGGACCCCACCGTCCTTTCCCACCTAGTGTGATTCCTCCCCACTGCTCCCCGGGGAAGACTTGGCATCGGGTGGGAAGTCGTTCTCTCTCTGACTGTCCTGTGATGAAGTGCTGAGGAACCTCCACACCACTCACTGCTTCACACACAGTGTGGGAGGGGCAGCGATTGTGGGGGCGATGTTGAGATGCTGAGCCGGTGATTGGTATTGGGTATAGTGTAAGCAGTGTGAGGGGTGGGTGGTGGCCTGGGGGGAGGGCTGATACATGGAGGCAGGGGGGTCACTGTGTGGGGGGGCGTCACAGTGTGTTGGGGATCACTGTGTGTGGGGGGGCCACTGGGTCCAGAGAAAGGGGGGACTGGGTTGCAGGGGTGTGTGACTGGGGGAGGTGAGTGGGGGGGGTGACTGCATGAAAGGGGGTGAGGGGTGTGGGTGGAGTCGGGGGGGGGGGTGGGGGTGCTGGGAGTGTAAATATCTTCTCCTGATAACACACTAACATTGACAGAGAATATCTCAGTGACGCAGCGAGTCAGACTCTGCTCTCCGTTCATCCTGCAGTCTCCTGCTCTGTTCTAGGCAGGATTATCCCGGGTCTCTCCGCTTTCTCCAGCTTTTCCTCAGTGTCTATAAACAGTCGTCAGCTTCATGCTCCATTATTTGATTTTTCGCCAAAAGGGTATTTAATTTGAACTACTGTAATTGGAGAAAATTTAAAGGGTTGTGCGTGTGTGTGTGTGTGTGTGTGTTCTGTTATTAATGGCAGTGTATCTATTGAGACTAACAGAGCCCTGTGCAGATTGCAAAATAAAATTGACTTTATAATCGCTTTCTATTTTTCTCCAGCAGCGAATTTAAACTCAGTAAAAGTCACACAACCAGCAGATTCCTTGTCAGGTATTTGAGGACCCTGCGCCCCCCAACCCCCAGCATTGCTCCGTACTCGCAACGTGTGGCCTCAGGGCCACAGGAACGCACAGCACTGGAGAAAATATTTCACTCCATCCAACTGATCCATCTGTCATTCCTGGGAGTGTGGATGCACAGTGTGGAGGGAGCTTTACTGTGTCTGTCAGACATCAAGTTCTGGATGAGAGCTAATTTTCTTCAGTTGAACGTCAACAAGACAGAGGCCCTCCTGATTAGCTCCCGTCAGTACCTCCACACCTCAGGCACTGACAGCATCACTATCCATGGGGCTCACTCCCCCTCACTGAGCCAGTCCAGAACCTTGGGGTCTTGTTTGACCCTCAGCTCTCCTTTCTACCCCACATTTGTGCCATGACCTGCTCTGCCTTCCCCACCTCCACAACGTTGCCCGGCTCCGACACTGTCACACCGCAGGCCCCCGAAACCCTCATACACGCCTTCATTACATCGAGGCTCGACTGTGAACTCATGGCTTGTCGGCCTCCCCATCTCCTCCCTCCACAAGCTGCAGATCATCCAGAACTCTGCAGCCCGTGTCCTCTCCTACACCAAGCTCCGCGACCCTGTCACCCCCATTCTCGCCGGCCCCACTGACTTCCCATCTCACAGAGGATATAGTTCAAGATCCTGGTCCTCACCTTGCTCACTCCGACCTCCTAACTCCTTACCATCCTGCTCGCTCCCTCTGCTCAGCGGGCTCCGGACTGCTTCACGTCCCCGGCCTTGCTTGCCCCACTATTGGCGGGCCTTCCGCCACTCTGCCCCCACCCTCTGGAACTCCATTCCGCAGTCCCTCTGTCCCTTGCCATCTTCAAGATCCATCTCAAGACCCTCCTCTTCGATTGTGCTTTTGATCTCCCTGCTTCCCCCCCACCCTCCACCCTCCCTGACCCCAACCCCCAGCTCGGGTCTGTAACTCTGTCTGTCCAGCACCTTGGAACGTCCTCCCGACTTGAAAGGTGCTTTACAAATGTAATTTTGTTGTTATCTTTAACCCTGACCTGGGAGTGTGGACACACAGTGTAGAGGAGCTTTACTGTGTCTCTAACCCTGACCTGGGAGTGTGGACACACAGTGTAGAGGAGCTTTACTGTGTCTCTAACCCTGACCTGGGAGTGTGGACACACAGTGTAGAGGAGCTTTACTGTGTCTCTAACCCTGACCTGGGAGTGTGGACACACAGTGTAGAGGAGCTTTACTGTGTCTCTAACCCTGACCTGGGAGTGTGGACACACAGTGTAGAGGAGCTTTACTGTGTCTCTAACCCTGACCTGGGAGTGTGGACACACAGTGTAGAGGAGCTTTACTGTCTCTCTAACCCTGACCTGGGAGTGTGGACACACAGTGTAGAGGAGCTTTACTGTGTCTCTAACCCTGACCTGGGAGTGTGGACACACAGTGTAGAGGAGCTTTACTGTGTCTCTAACCCTGACCTGGGAGTGTGGACACACAGTGTAGAAGAGCGTTACTGTGTCTCTAACCCTGACCTGGGAGTGTGGACGCACAGTGTAGAGGGAGCTTCACTCTGTGTTTAACCTGCGCTGTGTCAGGGAGGGATTGGTTGGGTCCAACGTCCCTCAGTGATTGAGCCAACGTCACACAGCTCAAACAGTTATTTCTGAGCAGAAAATGTTGTAAGTTACACACAGCTCCCCTAACCCCCATCTCCACTTTGGTGGTTCAGGGCTGCTGTGTTCATGTGCTCCCATTTTTCATATAGCGAGTTGTTTGGATCTGGAATCATTGCCTGAAAGGCTGGTGGAAGCCGATTTGATAACAACTTTTAAGAGAGAATTAGATAATTATTTGGGGAGGACAAGTTTGCAGGTTTATGGGGAGAGCGCGGGGGAGTGGGGTTGATCAGGGCTATGGGGAGAGAGCGGGGGAGTGGGGTTGATCAGGGTTATCGGGAGAGAGCGGGGGAGTGGGGTTGATCAGGGCTATGGGGAGAGAGCGGGGGAGTGGGGTTGATCAGGGCTATGGGGAGAGAGTGGGGCAGTGGGGTTGATCAGGGCTATGGGGAGAGCGGCGGAAGTGGGGTTGTTCAGGGCTATGGGAAGAGAGCGGGGGAGTGGGGTTGATCAGCGCTACGGGGAGAGAGCGGGGGGAGTGGGGTTGATCAGGGCTATGGGGAGAGAGCGGGGGAGTGGGGTTGATCAGGGCTATGGGGAGGGAGCGGGGGAGTGGGGTTGATCAGGGCTATGGGGAGGGAGCGGGGGAGTGGGGTTGATCAGGGCTATGGGGAGGGAGCGGGGGAGTGGGGTTGATCAGGGCTGTGAGGAGAGAGCGGGGGAGTGGGGTTGATTTGGAAGCTCTTTTCAAAGAGCCGACACAGACACGATGGGCCGAATGGCCTCCTTCTATGCTGTATAATTCTATGATTCTATGAGAGCAAGCGGGGGATCGGCAGATGGTTTCCTGGACACACGTAATGAGCAGATGGTGTTGAGTCTCATAATAAGTCAATCGTATCACAGTCCGACACACAGCAAGTGTGGGAATGAGAACATTTGAAAAAATAACTGTCCAATTTCTTCATATGGAAATCATCTCGACATAGACCTGTTGGGCCAAATGGCCTGTTTCTGTGCTGTGTATTCTATGTAAAAAAACGTTCCACATGAGAGTTTCTCTCTCCAGGTCCTCCCTCCTCATCGCTCTCCCCATCTCTGGACAAGTGCAAAGTGATGATGGAAAGAGAGCAGGGAACAGGAATAAGTGTCTGTGTCTGTGACGGGCAGCACAGTGAGTAGACGTGGTAGTTTGTGGGATTAGACGAACGAGCAGAGGAGATGTTTGACCAGCTTTCCCCAGGGAAATACCCAGGTGTCTGAACGTCAGTGTCTGATTGTCAGTGTTTGATTGTTAGTGTCTGACTGACTGTCAGATTTCAAGATCCTCAAATTTGTTTTCAAATCCCTTTATGCCCCGACACCTCCACCTTCTCCAACCTGCTTACCCCCCAACCCACTGCCTGCTGCCTCCACTTGACTGGCTCCTGCATGTCCCTCGTGCCCTCGGTTCCACCATTGGTGGCCGCGCTTTCAGCCACTACGCCCCGAAACCCTGGAACACTCGTCCCCTCCGTCTTGCTCCTTCCTTCCCCATCTTCAAATTGCACCTGAAGACCTTCCTTTTCGACCGTGCTTACGGTCACCTCCCCCCGACTCAGTGTCGTGCTCCACCACTGTCAAGCGCTCTGGGACGCTGCCCCGCGTGAGGGGCGCTGTTGTCAGGGGTTGTGCATCTCTTAGTCAGTGATTTTCACATATTCCCTCCAGCATCAATTAACATATTTATACTTCATCACATTCAATTAGACACACTCAGCACCTGAGCAGCTGGGAAGCCTTCACATTACACGGCAAACTCACTGGCCCAGAGGGAGTTTCTCACGGCCTCTCACAGGCCCTCATTACCATAAGTCAATCATGTTTATTGTTGTGAATATTCAACTCTGCAAATTTAATTACTAGAGAATAGAATTGATCACACACACTCCATCCAGCGCTCCCAGCTCACCCACAGCACAGGTTAGAGTCACAGTAAAGCTGTCTCTACAATGTGGTTCCACACTCCCAGGTCAGGGTTAGAGACACAGTAAAGCAGTAAATCATGTGAAGTGCTTTCAGATGTCCTCACAATGTAAAATCATTATCAAAAAAGAGCTGATCAGTTTCTTTGGCCAAATGATCTTCAGTTCTGTTTGAATCTCAGCGATTGCCCATTTTCCCCTGTGTTTATCGTTGTTCACTCCCCACTATTGTAGCTCAGTGGTTAGAGCACTCGCCTCGCAAGCGAGAGGATCTGGGCTCGATTCCCGGGCAGTACGAAACCTTAGGCAAGTTTCTTTACTCCACTCGTCTCTGGTTACCTAGCAGTAAGTGGGAACCTGATTGTTAGTTGATTGGTGGATCGCTTTCCAGGGGTAATAATCCACCCCTATATAATAATAATGTGGTCACTGAATCCACAACCGTTTGTGGGACACTGTTGCATGCAATTGGCTGAGTTTTTTCTCGCCCACAAAATAGAGTCACTACAATTTACGCTTTGATGACATGATAAGGCGCTGATATCAAATGCAAGGATTATTATTATTACCTTTGAAGCACTGGGAGACATTCCAGCTAATCAATGCTGTAAAAATCTTTCCTTGTTCTGGAAAGATTCTATTCTCTTCCGCGCCCCCCCACTCCCCTCTCTCTCGCTCTCCTCCTTGAGCCTTACCTCCGAGGACAATAGTGAAGACTTGTCTTTCAAGCCTGTCACTACCTGCCTTGACTCCCGCCCACGCTCCACACTGACATAATAATAATAATCCTTGTATTCCATATAGCACTTTAACATGTCTTCAAGATGGCTGAAAGCATTTTGCATGTCTCAAAGACCTGTAACAAAGGTGATGAGCC